TGATGGCATACTGACCGGCAGGTGTGCTGTTTCCGTCCTTGCTGCTGCTGCTGCTTTGGGTCTCCTCTTTTTATACATCCAGGAGGCAGTGCTCTGCTGAGGCAGTGCTCTGCTGAACCAGCCCACACCCCCTTCACCCCCACCCCTACAAGGACAGAGCAAGAGCACAAAAGGAAACATCTGCATTTAGAAATAAAAGGTGTGGACAGTCATAGCTGCCGTGTTTCTATTGGTTGTTGCACATGAAGTCTATCAGAAGGTTCTAAATCAGGATCTATTTCGGTCCTGACCTTCTTGAAAGATGGAAGACAGACAAATCACAGAAAAGGTTCCTGTTTCATGGTATTTACGAAACTAATTTTCAAGATTTTTTTTTTGTCTAAAATGTGCGAAATGTTTTTTTTTTTTTTTGTCGTTGCAAATTCTTTTGGATATTAACTCAATTCGCATTTGTTTAGTACTGGGGGGGAAGTGTGCAGAAAAAGCCACGGTGAGATTTTCTTACAGTTTCTTCAAAGTGGAAAAAGAAGCTTTCACCCACACCACAGTGAGACTGAACATCACGCTGTCAAGTGTCCCTATTGTCCGAGGATTCAACTGTCCTGGAGGACAAAGATAACCTTGTGAATACTTTGGCTCGGATTCTTTCTCGGAGGCTTTCCTTTGCCCTCCTCTCGCTGCAATAAAAGGTTGGGTGGGACAGCTGCGTGCTGCCAAAGCTCTCCACACCGTGCTGGAAATAAATACATTCACCTCAGACATCTACCACCTTCCCAGTGAACTCCCTATCATTAGCAGCAGGATCAATGTCACGTTAACAGAAGACATCTTTAAGGCAGGCGTTTATTGAGCCGACCGCCTTAAGACCCCCCTTGAAGAATCATAAGAGTCCCTTTGACACTGAGGATTTCACACCTTGGGAGTTCAGAAACCTCATGGGTCTGGTTAATTGGCTGTCTGCTCCTCGTGTCGCTCTCCTCGGCTCACTGAGGCTCACGTTCTCAGCTGTCTTTTGTCCCTTTCGCCAATTTGGACAGCTAGCTTTTCGAGCCTCTTCAGCGCTTCTCCATGCAGCCCATATGCATTACTTCAAACCAATGCAGAGGCTGAACAACGGCGGCCAATTAAGAGTTGTTTTGCGAATGAGTAATACTGCTCTAGTCCGGCATATTTACAGCCACAGGAGGAAACTTTTAGAAATCGACATGTCTTTTAGGTATTTGTTAGATCTGCCACTGATAGTACGCAGTGAAAGTTTTCAGAAATATGTAAAAAAAAACAAAAAAACAAAACATGTTTTTATAAAAGTTACATGCCGCAGCTTTAATGCCCACATCTCAAGATGGATTTCAACAACCTTTCCATAAAAGTCTGGTGTTCATTTCTATTCGTCCATCTTAACTCCGACGCCCCTAAATAAAGAGCATGGCACAACCTGCTGCATTGGACAAGCAAGGAGAGCATTAATCAGAGAAGCAGCCATTAGATCTATTGAAGCTTTGGAGGAGCTGCAAACATCTATTTAAAAATATGTGACATAAGTACAGTTACCTTATTAAAAGGAGTATTAAACTACAGTATTTTAATGTTGGGGGTTAATGGATTGGCTCAGTTTGCCAAAGGATAATGCGGCTAATTGATTTAATCCCGTTTCAGGGTCTAATTGTCTTAAATAACACCAGAACACTGTGACAGTCCTCTGGGTGTCAGCCAAAGGATTCCTGAGGATGATGCCTTAGAAAAACAACACAGACTCAAAGGCGTTTATGAGACCGTGTTGTCTTTTCTCCTCCTTTCAGCTGCGAGATGAACCGCACGACTTTCACAAAGCCGGTGCAAATGTCAATGGCGCCTCTAGACGGAGAACAAAGGCCGAGTGGCACAGAGTGTCACGGCAGACAAACACGGCTCGCGAGACTGCCTCCCTGTCGTTGTCCTCAACCTTAGTCGTGTTTTTAAAACCAATTTCAACCTACATCCTGGGACGTTCCGCCTCACATCCCCCCCCAGTTACGTTGACACTTTCCAGCCAAGGCCGCCGTAAGAGACGCAGCTGTCGCCGGGGGTCGCCGGCGAACACGCCCCGGGCCCTGACAGCACACTGACCGCGCATCTTGTTGGACCTGCATTGTTTCCTTCCATTTAGCCTTGGGGACAAAGATAAACCTGTGAAATAGTTTCAGGATTCCTTCTGTCCGGCTTAAGTGAACGAAGGCTCCCCGCCGTGTCATTCGTCGTCAACCTTTGTGATTAAAAATAACACCTCCGTGTTTGTTTTGGAAGCTGAAGTTGGTCATGATTTCTTGGTCTGCGTCATAATTTACCACTTAATGAGACACCTTTTTCTTTGAGTGAAAAGGTCGTTTCACTGTTTTCTTCCCTTTTTTCTGGCCCCGGTACAGAGGAGATAAGCGATGGTAAATGTTGAAATTCAGAAGCGTCGACAGTCAACTCAAGGATCAGCAGAGTTATTTCTTCACCATGCAGAGTGTCAGCCTGCCTGGAGGGCGATAATTTGTCTCAGACATGTCTGGAGAATGAATGTTCTCCTCCAAGACCTCTGCACTGTTCAACAAGCCTCTTTCATCACTTGTTAGCCCCCAGACTCTTTGAGACGTCTTTGAACTTCCTGTCTTTCAGACTTATTGTTCCTGACGTGTTCCTCATGCCAGCAGCTGTCTTTCTCAGCCGGGACTTGTACGGCGACCTCTGTTGTCTCTTTAGGGCAGCCATTTGCAGCCTGGCGCTTTGTCTGAACCAGCAGAGGTGTGCATGCTGCGTGTCGGTAGGAATGGTCAGGTAGAGAACAGAGAGAAGGAGCTCATCGACAGAACGGTTTCTCATTTTGTGATTGAAATAGTTCAGATTCTGCGGTGGTAGTCGTTAAATATATCACATCTCGCCGCTTTTCTCCCAGTGCATCTTAAAATATTAAGATGCACTGTCGCCTGTGATGCCACATAATATTGTGCAACTTTTGGTCTTGTTTGTTTGCATTCCCTGCATGACCAGCAGAGTTTTCACTTTACAACAGCGACTTTCTTTTAATGCGTCTTTTCGCATTTTTTAAACACTTTTCTGGATCGCATGACTGAGAGCAGTTCTCCTGTCAACCCGAGCTGTGGATTTCTGCAGCTCCTCCAGTTACCATGGGCCTCTCAATTTGTTTGCCAAACAAATTGAACAACTGGATTTATTTTGAGGATAAATCAAAGCCTGTTTCCTGATTATAGGTGACATCCAAAGGCAATTGCTTGCATGTAAGGGTATCAGAGTAAAATGGGTTAAGCAAATTTAAATATTTCATAATTAAAAATTTGTTCAACGCCTGTGCAATTTCCTTTCGCTTTCTCAACCGATCTATCGCATAAAATCCCCCCAAAAATACATCAATAATCAATATAAATAGTCACCATGAAACAATTGCGGAAAAAATGATGGAACCACTTGTCATGTAGCCATGGGAATTGTCATTTTGTCCCCTCAGCCTTAGCCAGACCACGACGCTGAAGGTGAGGTGGTTGCGTTTTACTGGCGTGTGGCACAGCCCCGCGTCACCGCCACCTCACCCTTGTCCATCTCTTCGCCATGTCTCTGATTTCACACCTCCTGTTCAGACGAGCCGCTCTAACCTTCAGGCTGGAACATACCGCCGCGCGGATCCATTCCCAGCTGTCGTCGCACCGTCTCCGCGGCTGACGTCCTTCTGTCTTCAGAGACAGGCCGGGTCGGATGGCACGAACAAAGCCACCGTCTGCCCACCTGTTGCTGTCTTAAGGGACACAAGGTTGGGGAAAGTAAAAATACTTCCACAAAGCCAAGATGAACAACCTTTTCACAATGAATATTTTATTTTACTGTATAAGACCACATCTGTAGTCCATAAAAAATGTACGGATGTTTAAAAAAAAATAAACATGTTTTGAACTTAATGAAAGAAAAAAAATGTTTGTGTGACTATTGCAAAAAAAAAAATGAATTAATAAAAACTCATTCTTAAATTCAGGGGTGCTGCATTAGGAACGATGTCCCTCGTTGTCTTTAATCAAAGATAACTATTTGCAATTAAGAATCTTTCAGCTTCTTGCATGAATAATGAATAACGATCAACTGTCTGTTGCACTGACTTAATTATGCCAGATGAAATCTAATTACTAGAAGGGTTTGCACCACCTTCACCTGGTCTATATGTCTAATATTAAAACCAAACCGATCAGAGTGCAAAAAAACTTTGCTCTGGTAATATGACCAATATAACGAAAAAAATAATAATAATAATAATCATTGACAATGTTATTAACATTGTCAATGTTAATAACATTAACATTATCAGCCTTATGAGAGGCTGATAAATCTGTCGGCCTGATCCTGTCCAAGGATGAGAGGTGCAAATTGGAATCCATGTACGAGGATTTCTTTTGTGGACCTCAACACGCCACTTGAGGAGCTCCTTGAACGTCAGGCATTCACACCTCGGGTTTCGCCATGACCTCACTTAACGCCAAGCCTCAATAGTGTCTCCATGGAGCTCAGCTGTCTCCATGTTAAACGCTTATAACAGCACGAAATGCTCATGAAAGGTTTCTTCTTAGGTTTTAGTAACTTCTAGAGGATGAAGTTTACTGAAAACATTTGCTAAAGGCTAAAAGTAATCTTTGAAAACTGTTTGTTAGGGAAATGTTGGTTGATTGCTTTTGATTTTGAAAGTCAACTTTTCCAGCTCAGAAATTAGTTTTTCGGTGTTTTTCCGTTCCCATCGACCACGTCGTCAGAGTTATTACAAACAGGTCAGATTATTTTAAGGGAGTAGTTTCCTGTGACCCTTTAGCCAGTCAGTGACCAGCAGTCTTCTGACCTTGCATTTCCTCAACTCGGCTTTAGGAACCCGAGCGAAGAAGGTTCTAAACTGTTTGCTAACTATTTTTGGGGGGGGGTTGTCTTCCTCTACATTTAAGCAGACGCATTCGTGTTCTCGTGATAAGAAAGTCTGAGTCCAGCGCTTGTTTTTAAACCAGATTTAATTCACATAAAATCAGAATTAACTGCATCACACTCGTCATTGAACAGATCAGCCAGTGTTGTCAGACATAATTATATTCAAGCCAGGTTAATTAATGATAAGAACTAGAGTATAAGTGTTAGACTTGTTGAGTGAAACATACAGAGAAATTAAAAATAAGTCATCAACAAACTTGCGTTTTCTTCAACTTCAACAGTTCAAATTAAACTCCTGCCCCCATTTCCTCATCCTTCAATGGTGCACATAAAAAAGAGATAATCAGTCTGTTCACAGCAGCATAATCTGCAAAACAGATTTACCTGCTTTGATCATCCTGCCAGTGATATAGCTTTCCCACAGATTAAACGAAACATCATACTTTTCCTGTCTCAAACTTACAAAGTCGTCAGAATTTAACACCATTTTAAAAATATAAAAGTCACTGTGTTCATGGCAGAAACCTTTACAGTGGTTTATAATGAATCTATAAGCTTTATGCAAAAACCAGAAACAGGAAAGAAGGAAGGCTAGACCGAAGGTTTGTAGCAAAGAAAATAAGGAAGGACGTAACGAAGGAAGAGAGGTAGAAAAAGATTAAGTGAAGGAAAGAAGAAATGAGGGGAGAGCACAAGGAAGGAAGTAAAAACAAGCTAGGAAAAGAGAAAGCAGATGAGGACAAAGGAAAGGAGAAAACAAGAAAAAAGCGAGTTAAATCTGAAGATAGATTTTTTTTAACATCTCCTTATTTCCTTTTTTGATAATTATCCTGACCTGGAAAATAATCAAATCGAATTCCAGACTTTTCCAAACCTAGAGTGCAACAGGGAATAATTGAGGGGTTCATTTGGAGCTCAGGGGCCCTCTTCAGCTCCCCGACACGGAGCACGCTCATTGGGCCCTTTTCTTTCCAAAAAGACACATTTTCTGTCTCCTCTCGTTCCATTAAAGACCAATATCCATATGCATATAAACATGTTTGTATCTGTCCAGCGTCAGCTGACAGCCGACACCGTCAGCTGATGCTGATGCTGATCTGGAGGTAAAGAGTCGGAGGAAACGCAGAGAAAACGAGCCCTTCTGTGATTTCAAACATGCAGACAGGAAAGTTTTATGACAAATGGAAGGCTTACATGGATCCAATTCAGCTTCATAATTAAGATTCAAAGTGTCAGGATAAATTATTGATTAAACTTAACAATGACATAAATAGTATAAATATTTCTAGCTCCAGGCCAGATTTTGCTGCCGTCTTTACCGAGACGTTTCTGGTCAGAATATGTGATTCATGTCCACAGGCCTGTCCCCCGAAACTTGAGAGACTTTGGTCGGATTAACTCGTTAATGTCACAAAGCAGAATATTCAAAGTGCTCTTTTTCGCGCCGCTGCATGGCATACTGGATTGCTCCAGCCACTGAGTCTGGCATTAAAACAAAACTCAGATGCCCCAGAGAAACTAAAACCGAAAAGTATTTACGACGCTTTTTTTGTGTGTTTTTCCTGTTACAGTTGCTGTTCCCCGTCAGGCTCCAGTGCCATATTGGAGAGTTGATCCGCAAGTTATATATATATTTAAAAAAACAAAACAATAACCTGGATTTTTCTACACTTCTGAATGCTTTTCGCCTTCTCACTCACAGCAAATACATAAAAAAATAGGAACAGTAACAAATGACTGCCACCTGCAGCCGGAGGATGCAGTCTCTACCACAGACACAGAGCTGGAGCTGAATGCTGGTGTGTCTCATGACAGAAAGTGAAGAGCTTCCTGGATGTTGTTAATGTTCAGAAGTGAATCTAAATGTTCGAGAAAAAAAAAAAAAACAGAGACGTGAAGTCGGAGGCAGCTCAAGCAGTCTGTCTGCGTCTGGAATGACAAAGAGTGTGATATGTTAGGAAGCATAAAGTCCGTTACAGCCCTTTTCATCTCCATTCGTCCTCCTGTTTGTCTCCATATTGCTACGTCTCTCTCTCTCCCCTCCTGTGAACAAACACGAAAGACGGGGATCTGTTTGCGTGGCGCCGCTGCGGCGGCGTTCTTTTAGGTCTCTGGGTTTGGGGTGGCCAGCAGCGGCACGTTGTCCCTCCTCCTCCGGCCCAGTGGGGGGCGCCTGTACTGCTCCCCCTCGCCCAGCGTCTGAGGCAGCGGCTTCCTCTTGCTCTCGGGAAGCAGCAGGATGGAGAGCACGGCCAGGAGCGCCAGGGACGAGTAGATGACGTGGTGCAGGAAGTAGCCGTAGTGGTTCCGCAGGTCCATGATCGGGGAGCTGAGGCGGCCCACGCAGCCCAGGGCGAGCACCACGCCCACACCGGTTCCCCTGGACACACACCGACACACACACTCATCCTCAACACCTTCATTTTGGATCAAAAAACACATTTGAATCACTTTATTTTTTTGTTTTTGTGACAGATTGAAGCAGAGGTCTGGCTTTATATAACTTAAACAAGAAATGGTAAAGAAGTAATTGATGTTTTTAAATGTGGCTGGGATGATAAATTTAGGTTTTAGCTATTTTTTGTTGTCGTTTCAAGAAATAATTCCCATTTCTCTTGCCACTTTTCCACAAGTTTCCACAATTATCAATGTGTAAAAACTCAAAAATAGCAAAAAGCAGCTTCTTTAAAAAGAATCTTAAGTGGAAATTTTTCAAAAAATATAAGTTGTTTTCCTTCAATGTCATGTGACATTATTGGCTCTAAAATAGGTATAACTGCAGACAGCTGGGTTGGTGGGATGACAGTAAGTGTTCAAGAAATTTAGGATTTTCTGTAATCCACACAAGTTCGTATTTCTTGCTTCTATTAGATAAACGCCAGAAAACTTAGCGAGAACACTTTTAGAGGATTTTTGGAACTGTTGTCTTTGTATTCTTAAAATATGTGAATTAGTTAAATTGCCCTGCATTACAGAACCGTGTAGTTTGAACATCAAGCACTTTCAAGGACTTCAGACAGAAATCCAGGACTTTCTAAACCTTGAAAACACCTCATTGAAATTCACGCATGTTTATACTGGTCCCCATATGACAAATCCTCCGCTCCCTTTTGATTCACTGCATTTCTAATGTTCCAAGCTTCTGTCTGTGCGTTTGTCACCTGATGATGGTGGGCATGATCTCTGCGGTGAAGAGGATGCAGAGCGATGCAGTGGCTTGGGAGGAGAAAAGACCCAACACTGAGAAAACCGTGATGGCCGTCTCACTGAGATCTGTCGGGGAGGAGAAGAGAAAGTGTTGACAACATGAAGGTGACGAGCCCCTTGCGATTGAATCGACTCAGTCAGCTTGACTTCCTTCAGCTCGTAAAGGAACAAAGACCCGCCCAGCAGTCTAATCAGCACCTTGTTAGCTGATGATGAGTGATAAAAGCGCAGCCTCTGACACAGCTTTGACTTTGCTCTCACTGCAGTGTCCTACATAAACCAGGAGTTGTTTTATTTATCAGCCACTAGGGGGAGACAGAGATTCTGAAATGTGTGCTTCCACAATGCAATGGAAAAACAAGCAGACGGATGTGCTGTTTAACGTTTTCATAATGGATGAAGTTCAGTTTGATCTTGCAGATGAATATGGGCTAAAATGAAATCTCCATCATTACTTTAATCATTTCCTAACAGAAGGAGATGAAGAGATCCTGTTGAACTATTAATATTCTCTCCTGTTTGAGTGTGGATTTATGCAAAATAATAATAGAAAAAAAAAAAGAGAAAGCCCCCTGCTGCCCGCTAAAAGTCAGCTTACACTCCATGAGTCCCAGGAGGATCAACGAGGCCAGACCCGTCGTCGTCATGAACAGGAGAAGGATGCCACGGCGACCGCACCTGTCCACCGTCGCCCAGAGCAGCACCCAGGCTCCGCCCCCCGCGCTCACGGACAACAAGTACGTCCAGTAGAAGCTGGGGGCGGTGCCTCTGACGTCGCCACGGAACGAGCTGTAACAGTGACTGATGCCGTGAGAGATGAATCTGAGGAGAGAGGATGGGGGGAAGGAAGAGGTTAGGGATGAAATACGAGCCTGCAGCACGCTTGTACACAAAGCGCTGAACTGACACAAAACACCGTCCCGGCGCTAAATTGGTGCGGGGTGACTTACGACGTGAAGCCGAGGACGCAGATATTCTTCCAGATGTTCTTGCTGTGGAAAAGCTCGGGGAAGGACAGGTGGGGGCGGGAGGAGGGCGCCGGCTCCGAGTCCAGCTCTGCGGAACAACGGGACCGAAACCATCAAAGTCCAACCTTCCTTAAAGCTGCAACAATGAGTTGTTTTCAACCGATTCAGAACAGAAAAAAAAATTTTTTTAAGCTGTGAGTTTTCTGTTAAAGTACACCCAGCTTGTTTAGACAATGTTTCATGTTTGAATAAAAAGACTTGCTGTGAATTAATGGCAGAGATTTCTTTAGCAGTTACCATGGCATAGTTATTATACAACTAATGTTTCTTCAACACATATTTATTCAAGAAGGATTCTATTAGGAAAAAATAAAACTACTTACATTTTGATCTTTTGAATATAGTTTTTTGCCACTTCTTATGTCACAAAACATGAATCTGACTCCATCTTTGTTTTAGGAAACACACAGGGTAGGGCTAAACTAATATCCTCTTGCCGCACAAATCAGAAAACAGTCTCACTTGTTTGAGACATCAAAACATAACTCAAATATACAATTACTGACAATATGGTTTATTCTCATCTACTACGACAATGAAGCAGTGAGGTTTGTGGAGGATGAGAATGTTTAGTCAGAGCTAAGCTGACAAAACAGAAGCGATAATGGAAACATCTGCTTCTATCGTGTAAACATGTTTATATGTAAATAAAGCCTGACTTTGGTTGTCTTCTGCAGCAGCAGCAGCATGTCATTATGGCACATTATAGTTGCATTGTAAAGCAGGAAGCAAATCCATTCAGCAAATCCTTGATTATAACTTGGCATTCACTGCATATTTACATAAAAAAATATCAAAAACATTACTTAAGTGGTTCTGTTTTAAATGTGAAATTAACAATTATTCTTGCAGTAGTGAATTTGACACCAATTATTAAAGTTTTGACAATGTTTTCTACAGCATGTATTAATGTGATTATGTAGCAAAGCCTCAAACAAATACATAAAACAGACCTCCATTACATTAGGCAAACTTTTGGCAGTATGGTTCTTGTGGAATAAAAGGTATAAAAAGCTGATATTAGTCAGGCATTCTGCTTGGACAGCCTGCAGCTTAACAGTCCACACAGCTGAATTTCTCGTTTTGCATAAATGGGGGAAATAATGTAACAGCTGCAAGGAAGCAGAAACAATTTGCAGAGAAGCAACACAGCAGATCTCTGATCAAAACTCCTGAAGTTTTCTCACTAAATCATCTTTAAACCATATAGACTTTCATTTTGAAATCATAACTTAAAAATACCACGCTTAATAGTAACGTAAGCATTTTGGATACCGGCGTTGCACAAACCCAATATTTAAACACTTAAGTGAGTTTGTGAACACACCTGTGAAGCTCTCGTCATCCCTCAAGTCTCTGTTGGAGTTCCTCCTCTCGCTGAACGCGTTCATGTCCGCGGATCGCTCCGACAGGAGGAGCCAGCGTGGGGACTCTGGAAACACACCGGGAACGCTGCAGGAGGGGGAAACCCAACACATAATCACCCTTCAGCCTCAAAGGGAATTATTTGAAAGCCAGGAAGCTTTTGTGGCACCGATTTATTCCATGAGCCAAAGAAATAAACAAGTCAGCAAGTGGTACAAATCTTTAATCCTTTCTTATTAAAATTTGCGGATTATTGCCGCAAATCTGCGGATAATCTTTTTTAATTTAGCTAGAAGGAGCGGCGAGGGCTTGCCGGAGTCTTATGGAAACTTGGCCAGTTGAATAAAGCGGTCCTAATGTGTCTTGACGTGAACAAGAAGTAAATCAATACAATCTGACGAAGCTTTCTGCAAGCCAGCTGGCCGTAGGACGTGGGTCCTTTTAATGGAGACTCAATGAGTTATCGATTTGGGCGAGCGGTCGTACCCGTAGCTGAGAAAGAGTGTCAAAGGGGCCGCCCCGGCTCCCAGCAGGCCCCTCCAGGACTGGCAGCCGAGGGCCACGGCCAGCAGCAGCAGCTCCCCTGCCACGGTCATGAACCCAGCCAGCATGGCCGCCACAAGCCTGAGCGACGGCTCGCACAGCTCCAGACCTGCCGTGCAAGAAAACATCACTGCTTCAGAAGTCCGCTGCTCTAAGATGCTTATTCTCCCACGGTTCACGTTTTGATTCAGAAAGGCGTCCTACTGGCTGTGTGTGTTTAACCATCTGAGTCATTCCATGCTGGTATTTACAAATTCAGTCTTTTGATGCTAGTCCCAAGTGTCAATTAAAAGCTAATTATGGAGATTTAACTAAGCGAGTCTGAGCCAGATGAAAACATTTACTGCTACAAACAGGCAAACATCAGGATGGCATTTTGTGTTTGTTAGTTTGATTGATGTATAAAAAAAATGTTAAATTAATAATAAAAGTATTCGCACCCATTGAACTGTTTCTCCTTTTTGTCACTTTGTAAGCACAAACGTTATGAAGATTTGACATGGAGCATTAGTACAAAGCAGCACAAAGCTTTCATTGCTTCCACTGATTTTTACTAGAAAAAAATCTGAGAAGTGTGGCATGCTTTTAAATTTTTTGTAGGCTCTCCCTTTTGCTGCAGCAAGTCATTGAAGGTTTGTCTCCGTCAGCTGTTTATTCCCACCAATTTAAAAGTTGTGCCACATATTCTAATTGTATTCAGGTCTGCACTTTGACTGGGCCATTCTAATACATGCTTTAATATAAACCTCAGTCTCATGTCTTTTTGCATAATTGCATAATATTTTATGCAACGAGAGTAAAAAGGGCCAAATACAAATGCGTGCCTCACTTTTCAGGGGGTTTTTTAGGAAAAGATTATGAAAACCCATATACAGATGTCCGTCCAATCCATAACTATGTGCCTCGTTATGTTGGTCTGTGATCTAAAAATCAACCAAAACTTTAGGCTTGAGGTTGGAGTGTAACAAAATATGTAGTAGTTTTAATAAGCATGACATCAAGTGCAAATGAAACTCTAAGGAGCCATCTCACCAGCCATGGACTAAGATCCCCTTTAATTATGCTCTAGTTAGCAATTATTTACATGTCACAAATCTCCATAGCTTATCAAGCCTCATACGTTTGTGACGTTTTCAGAGTTTTCACAACCAATACTGAAAGCAGTTCCTGTTTTACAGAGAAAAGCCTCCTGCTGCTGTCAACAAATAACAAAACATAGTGAGGCCCACTGGATGATTTGCTCTGTAGAAAAGTCTGTCTGGCCTATTTGTTGGATCATAGGTTAATAACTGGGTATACTTACGGGCGATGTACAGGGTTAGGTAGACCCCTGCGCTGGCAGCAGCCAGGCAGAAGCGCATGATGATGAAGATGGAAGGGTACGGAGAGACACACACCAGCACCCCAAACACCACCGACAGAGTCAGAGAGATCAGCAGGGTCTTGGACCTGCCCAGCCTGCAGAACCACAGAAACACAAAGCTGCAGCTGAGACACATAGCTAATAACATAGTGAAACCTTTAACATAGGAAAAAAAGCAGCTCATATTTTTGTACTGAGCTGACTCAAGTGAAAACCGTTTATCCTCAAGACAAATTTCAATTATACCTTCTTGAAAACGAAAGAACCAGAGCTAGTCAACCCTGACTGTAAATCATTGTGATAATTTGCCGATGTTTTGCTGATTTGTGTCTTGTTCCCACAGCAGAGCTCTGCTGTGGGAGCCCAGAGGTGGGAGCATTAAATTACTGGCCTTAACAAACGCATGCAACGCTCAGCTGGTCAGGAAACGAATGAGGGCCATTAGCTGATTGAAATGACATCATCGTTCTTCCTTGCTCTCCCAGCTTAGCCCTTCCAGTGACACAACAGATGCAGACCAGTTTGGTTAGCTGAAGGGAGTGTGGATGGAGGTTAAAAAAAAAAAAAAGTCGGCCACAGCTGGTGATTTTTTAGGGTTAATTTCTTTGTTGCACATTCCAGTTTCTTACAGTAATAAAAATAAAGGAGAAACAACTTGTCCATGATTTGTGCTGTTTAAATCACAAGCTCTAATGCACCTTATTGCAAATTTTCTGTGGCACATGACGGGATAATATCAAGGAGAGGGAAAAATGATGCAAGCTTCTTTTTTTTTCTACTTTTTTTTAAACTATTCCAACCAGCTTCCCACCAAATCTGACCAGCATTCATACAGCATGAGTTTATCACCGCCAAGTTTTATAAGAGGTTTGGTAAACTAAACAACCAAAAGTATTCCCTCGCCTTCCTTCACTTATGCATGAACTCGAGTGATGCAAGATACAGAGAAAGACTATGAGAAAGAGAAAGAAAGTACAAAAAAACAAAAATGACTAAGAAACAAAGGTCCAACAGTCTTTAAAGAAATACACCACAGAATAAATGAGAGAATGTTTTTTAGTTTACCTGTCAGCTGTGTAGCCCAGGCTGAGGCATCCAGTCAGAACGCCCAGGATGAAGCACACCTCCTCCACCGGAACCAGCCAGTACTGGGCACACACCAGATCCCACTGGACAGACGGAGAGAGGTCTGTCAGAGATGATCTGCTTGAGTCAGGACCAGCATTTATGATTTTTAGAAAGGTCAGAGGCAATAAACATCAAGAGGATCAAAAGATGAACACACCATATGAACAGAAAGCTGTGGTTAATGATTAAGAGGCAAAACATCAGTGAAACCAAACTTAATACGGGTCTGGAGTTCAAGAAGTCCAGAAAGATACAAAAGAAGGATTAACTCCCATTGGGCAAATACAGGAAGCTCTTGATTCTTTTGTGTGATGTAAAAGTAAATTACTGTGCTGAAAGTGGAGTGTGGTCACATACAAGCAAAGATAGAAAGTCCACGCACATTTGTCTTAAACACCAGATTTCTGCTCTCGGTTCAGTTTCATCTCCCCAAATTGATCCACTGATATGCATTTACAGCTGAGCTCTGCTGGAGGAGGGGGGAGAATAACACGGTTCTAATGATCCGGTCTATAGGGAGTTCGAGGAGAGAGCTAAACATTAAGAGGTCTTGCATGACTGGAAATCGTGCGGCGGAACAGAGAAAAGCCCGTCAGCCTGTCCTGTTGCTGAGTAACGAGATCACAACGGCGCACGCCGGCTGGACAAAGGCCGGCGTGACGTCGCATGTCTCTCATGCGCCTGGAACGCTTTGCACGACAGGAGCGGAGCAGGAATGAGTACAAACGAGTTCAGAGACTCCCCGGACTGGTTTGGTGGGAGAAGAAAGAAACTTGCAGTCAATTTGGATGACTCCCAAACAAAGAATCATCGGGTCGGATTTAGTTTCTCTTCATATTTATGTCATTTCACCTCAGCATGAATTCATTTGTGCTGTGAAGGCCTCAATTTGTTAAAGAGAACCAACATCATCATGAAGACCATGATGTCACAATAAATGCCATCTTATTTACTATAATTACATTTTTCTCTTGGGTTTGGCACACCAAGTTAAAATAAACTCAAAATGGACAGTTATGCGGAAGTGCAGTTATTTTCTCACACATGTCAGCACAAGGTTGAAAGTGTGATGACCAGAGTGAGCGGGACTTTGACTAAAGCCAAATGAATCCAAGTCAGCCTTAAAAGCTACATTTGGGATCCAACTTTCGGTGTCAACATGAATAAGAAAATCCCCCACGATAATGTATTTAGTGCTAAATCAGAATTGTTTAGTTTTTCTTCTGAAAACATGGCGGTTCACCTAAACCGATGAGTGGGGAAAGGAAAGAAAATTCATCAGAGAGGCTGTCAAACTGCTGATGGTAAATCTGGAGGAGCTACAGACGTCCAGAGATCAGGTGGGACAATGTGTTGAGATAAAAAAAAAAAAAGATTATTTTGTAGACTCTAAAGCAGATGAGTTTCCCAAAGCCACATAGGATACACAACAAGGAAGAGGTTGAGGTTAGCAACATGTGGAAGAGTTTAAGGGGTAAAAACATTCTGAAAGGCACTGCAGACCCACATCAGAGAGGTTATACTGTGTGGAAACAGGCAATACGGATTGATCTGGAGCTCGTCCTGTCTTACTTTAAACACACTGCTACCACCTCAGCACAGTGAAGCTGCCGCACAGGAAGGAGGAAGAGATCTCACACACACCAACACACAGAGACAGCGAAGCATCCTGTCTGTAAACCCGAGTGTGAACACTGCTTCTACAACACGGACGCTTTTGCATCCAAATGCGTCCCTTGGCAGCGCTTGAGAATCTTCCGTTTGCTGCAGTGGTGTGGGTGGATCACCAGCACACTGGGCTCAGACTGTGGACTGGAGGACTGGGTGGGGTTCTTACAGCTGCATGGTCAGAAATGGAAAGATGGAGTGATCGCCAGAGGGCACGGACCGAGACTGTTGGAAGTATGTGGTGCGGAGGCAGCAGAGATATACGAAGAGTTATTCACAAACAGGGAGCTGCCAAGGTCTGCTGGGACAGTAGCAGCTTTAATTACAGCTAGTTTCAGGAGAGAAGTCGGCTGAAAGGTTGGAGACACAAAGCCGTGTCCTTGAGGTTGAGGAGCTCAAAGATTGGAAGCAAAATAATTAATGTTGTACATAACAGGTCATATAAAGAGAAACAGAGGAAAGCTGTTAAAGAAACTATTTACCCTGCATGCTTTTATTTTATTGCATGCCTCAGTTTCCATCTATATCAGCGCAGCAGCAGCTCTCTCTCTGTCATCAGGATTGTCCTCAATGATAATGGAAATTCTCATCTTGGACATTCCAAAATGTTACATGTTCCTCCACAGTCTTCTTCGCACAATGATCTAAATAAAGGTCTTCTGAATCAGTGTTGGAACCTGAAGGTCGTGGAGATCATCATCGACCTCCACAGGTCGCCATCAGACCCAAACGGTTCTGCAACGCCACAGCAGAACACCAGACTCCAGCAGACTTTCTGTCTTAAAATGTTAAAATGCTGTTAAGACTAACCACATTATATTCTTGTGCTTTATTGTTACCAAAGTGACACAAAACAGGACCTAAACTTGCTCAGTTTGTTGTGTTTCATGTTGAAAACACACACACAAAAAGGCATTCCTATTCATTCACAGCACATGTTTAGTTGAAGTATGTAGTTGTGTTCACTCTAATCTGATTTAAAGCCAACAGAAAGGCTGCCTTGTTAAGTTGTATGCTGTTATTGAGGAAACAATGAAATGAACAAAATTAAATATGAGCTTTCATAAAAGCTGTGAGCTGTGTAAAAGAGCACTTTGCACCTCAACAAGTTTTAAACAAACTGAACAGCCTGATGTTTTTTTTATCCTATTCAAACGGTGAAATGCTAAATGATCTCTGCTTTCTGCTTTTTTAACATTTACTGGTCAAAGCCGTTTTGCAAATAAAAGCAGCTTCCTATGCAAGAAACATTCCAGATGTATACAATAATTTATCCAGGATTCTGATATATATAAATATTATTTCTCACAAGCACCAATGATTCAAGGCATCTTAAAATTAAATATGCACTGGTAGTAATGTAATTCTTGAGATCATTAGGTCTTTTTTATTATTAACACAGGTTACGTATTTATTAAACTTTTTTTTAGCTCATCCAAACAACTGAGACTTTGTGTTTTCAACATATTCTTAGCAAAAGGAAAATGATTTGCATGAAACAGTTGGCTGATTTTAAAGACACTCACCCTTGATGCTCTCTGTATGTTTCAGTAAATTAGAACCAACATTTATCAATTTTGGAAAAGCATGTAAAAGTGATCATCCCACACCATGGAGGAGGTCTGTTTGGGAACCAAAAGGATGTAAGGAACTTCCCTGACTTTTGATAAATGACAGTCAAACTCAGAGGAAGATTTTCACCATAAATAGGAAGAGCCGAACCTCTGCGCATTATTTGTTGTTGTTGTTTTTTTCTTATTGTACTTCATATGAATGGAAGCCTGTATGGAATGTTCTGTATGTTGTCCTGTTTAAAATAAGACCAGAATCAGAACCAGAACCAAACACTGAGAAACAGCATTGAGTTCCTATGCTCCTCTAATCAGGAACAAACTTCCAGAAAACTACAAAACAGCCGAAACACAGAGTTCCTTTAAATCAAGGCTAAAAACCCCACCTGTTTAGAGCTGCCTTTGATTAGTAATAAGTTGAATTACATATTCAATGTTGTTTGATGAGTTTGATGATGGCATTTGATAGATTGTGATGTTTATTGCCTGTTCCATAAACGGTGACTGTATGATGATTTTACGATGTAGTGCCCTTTGAACTGCCTTGTTGCTGAAATGTGCTACATAAATAAACATGACTTGACCTTAGAGCCTTAAAACACTGATGTTCCTGCGTTGCAGCATGTGGGATTTATCCGGTCGTCCCTTGAGGTTAAATAAGTTTGTGACGCTGAATCAAAGTTTAGTACAACTCTGCAGAAAGCAAAGCTGCAAGCTCAGCAGGACTTTGCAGTAGAAACGAGTGGGGAGAAAAAAAAAGAGGTTTCTCAGCATTTAAGCCCTAAATCCTAACTAAAAGGAATCACTTTGACAGGTGAGCAGCCAGGCTGAAGCGTTACCTCGGTGACGATGTTGTTCTTCAGCCCCTCCGTCACGTTGTAGTCCCACCCGGACTCGCAGTCCACCACGGCCGACTGGCTGCCGTTGGCGTACTGCTTACACTGGGACGGGCTCCCGGTCTCCCCGGGCCGCGGCCCCTTCTCCCAGGGCAGGGAGGCGTTCAGCACCTCCGGCGAGGGCGACGGGCCCGGCAGGCGGCAGTGGTGCGGCGGCGAGAGCGTGATGAGGGGGTCGGAGGAGAGCAGGAAGGCCAGGAAGAGGTTGGGGAGGATGGAGAGCGCGATCAGCACGCGCTGCTTCTTCCTGCCCAGAGCCAGCACCATCACCTCGCCCGTGGGAGGCAGCGAGGGCGGGGCCGGGATGGAGGAGGAGGACGGGGCCGGCGAGGAGGGAGCCGGGGACGAGGGGAGGGACGGGGGAGGCGCCGGACACGGGGAGGGGGAGATGAGGGGAGGCGAGTCAGGGGAGGTCATCATTTGTTGTTGAGGTCAGAGGTCCTCAGGCAGAAAGGGAGGCGGAGCTCTGGGAGCGAACAGATCACACAGTTATAAGTAACAGCAGCAAGAACGCTATAAAGACATGCAGAAAGACGCTAAGAAAAGTCCGTCTCTACCAATAAAAGCAGCAGATGTTCACAGGACAAGCAGCGTCTAGGAAGGAACTCAAAACTCTTTCACGTTTTTACAGTTACAACCACAAACTCTGTTTAGCATTTTATGTGCTCCTTGAAGAGGAATTTGCAAATAACTGTTTTTACTTAGGGCTGGACAATGAGACTTAAAAAAAAAAAAAAAACTGTCACGATAGAAGCGCTGACGCTTGTGAATATCAATAGTTATCGATTAGTTTTTTATTTTAAACATCTGAAATACTGCCAAGCATGTTTCCTGTTTTATTCACAGTTTTCACTCCACGTTTGTTCACTTTTTATCGATACTTTTCATTTATGAGGCAGGGTGACAAAACCCCAACCTGCGGCTGTGCGAGTCACTCGACTGGTTGTTGCTAGGTAACCAATGAGTGAGTGAGTTGATGCTACCCAGCTAGCATAGCAACGACTGGCAGACTCAGCAGCAGAAGCCTGTCCTATGCCTACATCTCCCAGAATGTTGTGCGGTTCTGGATAGAAGTTCAGTCAATAAACTACGTACTGAATATTTTATCAGACAAATAATCTTTCGCTATTGATCTATTGCAATATGTATTGCAAATGCTTTATTGTCCAGCACTATTTGGGGTACTTCTGTATTTCTGCAAAGAATTCAATGTCAAGTTAAAGCGACACAACAACACGTGAAAATGTTCTGAGAGGTCATAAATATTGTTTTCCTAAGTATTATATACAATACTCTATGTGGAAAAGTTTTACCACCTGTTTGGGTCTTTTTTCACACCAAAATGAGACTTTATTACTCCTTCCTCATCAAAATGTTTTAAACCGGTATTTGCAAACAAAACATATTTTTGTTTTAAATATTTGAAGCATTTCCTGCTTCTATGTGCTTGTTGTTATAGTCTTAAACTTTCTGTCTCTTTTTTCCTACCAGCTCTGTGCTGTTCCTTGCACCTCTGCTACATACTGTGTGTTGTTTGCTAAACAGTAATTGAAAAGAAAAAGAAAAACAAAAGAGCAGCCATGTATGTTGCAAATAAAAGCAGGTCCTTCATTTCCCTTAATGCAACTTATTCCAGATGCCTTTTGAAGGTAAAACATGTTTATTTGTTTGATATATTTCTTATGAGTATGTTGCTCATTTTGTTTTTTCTCTAACCTGGACCTTTTTTTTTTTTTTTTTTTTTTTTTTTACAATCACAGATTATAAGGTCACAGATTACACAAAACCTGCAAAATTGCGTAGACTGATCCTACCAGTGGGTTTAGGGGCGCTCTGCTAGAGCGGGCGCCAAACAACGGCATATAAAAATAAAATGGTGCGATCCACAACACAGTCACGTCTGTGATGTGCCCGCAGACTCTTCACACAGCACAAAGTTCCTGCCCTACCACATTGTCACTGAAAATCCCATTGCAGAATCAAAGCCATGAGATGGCACTCTCGGCTAACTTGCAGCTAAACACCTAAATATAGCCTTATTGTGACTTATTATCCGCCTGCTGCGTGTTTCCAGAGTACAGGCAGCTCTGATCTGGCCTTGGGACAGCCTTTCTGTCCACATGGGGCTCCTTCAGGAGTTGCCGTGTTTTCTTTCCACGGGGCCAGGAAGTCTAACAGAAAAGGAATCCCACAGGGTTACATAAGAGCTTTTCTTTTGTGTGTGTGTCTTACAGGAGGTTGGAGGGGAAAGGACGTGGAAGGAATGTAACACACGGGGCCAAGCTGGCCGGCCTCTGAGAACAGAGCGCAGTAGTGATGGAGGGGCCCCTGTCCCTCCAGACACCTGCCCCGGAGAGCCGAGCCACAACAAACACACGTCACCGCATCTGCCTGGTGCCCGACATGACCGCGCGCAAACACTTACCGTTTCTCAAAAGGCTGTTACAGGAGAGCCAGGAGGAGCCAGCTGTTTCTTCCAAACACCCATGACACTGCGGGTTGAGACCAGAGCTTCACCGCGTCCACCGTCTCTCGGCGGCGCCTCGGTGCCAGCCTGCGTTTTCTAACGACAGAGCGGACATTTCTGTCCCGGAGAAGAAGGGCTTCGGTTTCTGGTGTCCTTCCTTCCGTTCAGGCAACGGGCGCTGCGCTGATGTCGTTGAAGCTCCGCCGCTTGGACATGTGATGCTCCGGGAGGGAGGAGGGGAGAGGGGGATGCTCGCTGGACTCCCCAGCTCCTCAGTCCAGCCGTCACCGCTCCCTGGTTCAGTGCGGCCGAGTCAGTCCAAGTTTCGGAGCGCCGGCATTACGACACGACCCGAAATAAATGTGCGCGACGTCACCCGAAAAAGAAACGCGTCGCCTGGCGGACAAAGACCGCGTGGGAAACTGCAGAGAAGCCGCCTGTTTAAGAAGGGGAGCAGCTCCAACCGGCGGCGAAGCACTTCGAGAAAAGTCGGCTAAATCCGTGGAAACGGCGTCTCGTCGTCGTACCGCTGCCAAAGATCCTGTGTGGTGGACTGATGACTCACTCTGTGGGAGAAAAAAAAGGTTAAATAAATAGAAATTAAAATCTAATACCTAAATAATTTGTTAGATTTCTACTCTTCAAAAAGTAATATTCTCGAAATCATCACAAAATATATTAATATTTCATTTATATTTCCCAAAACTAAAGTACCTTTAACTTATTGAGATTTTGTCACCTTGCAGACAAATAGCCCAATATATATTTTATTGGGCTATTATGTGACAGAGCAATAGAAGGTAACTCATAAATATGAAATGGAAACAATATGCAGTTGCTTCATTTTAAAGTCCGTCAGTTTGCCATGAAAACATAGCGGACATCAATTTTCAAGTCTTGCCACAGATTTCTGAGTTTGCCTTAATTTAGAACCTGCCCAGACTTTGACTGGGCCATTCTTATGCAAAATAATCATTTGATTTAAATCATCTAGCTGTAGGCTTACTGCTCCACTCTTAAGTCTGCCAAAGTCTAGGCTTAACCCTGATATTGCCCTTCGTTGAACTCCCGTTATCTTCATTATTGTTGTTTTACATCCGGATTTAATTTGAAAATTAGAAGATATTCAGACATTTATGCGAAGGTCACAAATGGGGGGGTGGATTAGCTTTCACTACCAACAGAAAGAAAACATGTCCTTCCTAGAGCCTTTCAGCTGTTTAGTTGATGATACATAATTCTGAAATATTTCTTTGCTTTCCAGAAAATCATAAAATTGATGTCAGTTTGAAATTTTATCAGACATCCACAGCCTAACTTTCCCTCAAGAAAGAACATTTCGACACAATGAGAATGTTTTCACGTTTCCCAGAAGAAGAGAAAGTTCGAACGTTGTCGTGCAGCACATCGGCGTCAGAGTGGGACGTCTGTTTTTCTGCGCTCTTTGCCGATTCGCTCGTCTGCCGCGGGGTGGCGCCATAAATCAGGGATCCACAAGTGACACGTCAAACGCGCCTTTATGCTTTTTGACCCGTGCAGAGTAAGGCTTGGGGGAATGGGGGCGTTTTATCCCTCTGCCTGGTCCCTGCGTCTTTAACGCAAGACAACGAGATCATCGCCGTCAACAGGTTACTCCTGCGGTGCATTAAATGTTTGAAACTTTGTCATTGGATTAGTTTGAAACTCTGCCCTGCTGTTTTAAGACTCAGTGGATGACCCCAACATTGTTTGTTCTACTGGGCATGCACCACATGGCCATCAGAGCAGGATGCTGCAAAGGTAGCTGTAAGAAAATGAAATATTCATTGCAGGGGAGAATTAATGTGTTTTCCTCATGCAGGCTCCGTATTTCAGTTTACATTTTTTATTATTATTATTATTTGAATGTCTAAAATCAAAGACGACATCCAACTCGTTAACTTTGAAACCGAATGTGCTTCTTGTTTCACCCTGAAATAAAATGAAGACGCACATTTTTTTCCATTTTCTTTTCTTTTGTTTTCATCAATAACGGAGCTCCATCGGTGGCAGTGGGGTTCACATGGTGTGCTGTTGTTGTTGAGTAACTCGGTAGGGATTAGGTGAAATACAGGCTTTCTTAAGTCTGTGGAGATGTTGCAGTCCTGGGACCACATATTGCCCCACATGACGCTGCAGGACATTTCAACAGACACGGTCGCACAGAAGTTTTCATGTGCATGGGGGACTTGTCAGACTGGAGAAAAAGAAGAAATAAAAGAAAAGGGACTTTGTTGCACTTTCACTCTCCTTTGTGCATTCTCACAAGCGAGTGTCTGCTTCTTATTTTGTTGCTGCAAAAAAAAAAAAAAAAAAAAAAACAACAACAAAAAAAAGGTCTGGAAAATGTCAGAGTTTTTTGCTTTGCTCCTCCAGGGGTGCATACAGGAAGTGTTACAGCATTTCTTAGAATCTGTGTGTCAGTGCATTTCTTATTATTTTGATCGGCTATAATCTCAAGCGTCCAAATTAACTGTCGAGGATCCGCCGAGGCGTTTCTGCTGGGTCAATATGCAGGCCCATTAGTTTTTTGGGGTTTTTTTGCGTGTCGCAAAATTGCAAACTAAGAGACTTCTTAAACTTTAACAAATAAAATGTGTTCTTTTATTTGGCCCTGTTCCCTATCAAATATCTAATTGGAAAGGTTTTTTGGGGATTTTTTTTTTAAACTCTTGTGGTCTCACACAACAAAAGGCATCAGCACGAAACTGCTATTATGTTTCATTTTTACAATCCTGTGAAAGAGCCCACTTAAAGACTACTTCTGTCTTTGTCCCTGTTCTTGTTCTTGTTTTGTTTTCGTTTGTTTCTTCGTCACCTAGGTGTTTCAGAGAATGAAACGTATTATGATATCTGAAACAAGACAACCTTCCTTGTTAAATGAATCTTCTGCGACGTTGTGTCTTCGTCTTCGTCAGGCCACAGAATACTTTTCACAAAAGTCTTGAGAATCATGCAAAAAAGAAAAAAAAAAGGCAAACAATTGAATTGAAGTTGTTGTTGGGGTTTTTTTTGCATGATAAATGATGTTAGAGTTAGCTTGATGATATAAAAATAAAAAAAATAGAGGTCGTATACTTTTTCACAACCCTGGTGCTTGCTATGTTGCCTGAAATTCATATTATCATATTCCAATCAGAAATCGACAAGATTACGCGAAGTGAATAAATCAGATGTTTGGCTTGATGCCCCCACCCCTTCCGTCTGAGTCCTATCTCTGTGTCCCTTCATTACCATCACAGCCACAGGAAGGCCCTGACAGCCCCAAACACTGATATTATCTCTGCACTCCTCATCTCTGTCCTCCACTGTGTCGAAATCTTGCCCATCCCACAAAGGGAAACCGCTGGGGCACAACGGTCCATGGCATGACGTCCGTTTCTGTGGGTAGGGGGTTTATGGGAAATAGCGCGGCTGGTGTGCACCTTGACGAAGGATGCTGGCTGGGTGGAGGGCGGTGGGGGTCGGGGGATGTGAGGAATCGATGGCAGCGACAACATGTTGATTCGTTCGCACGTTTCTGCAGTTGCCTGAGCCACAAATGCCAAATCGCCGCTGCGTTGGAAATGTTTTTGAGATGAGTTGGTGTGATCTGGCCCCGAATCCGTGCATCACAACGAAACGGCACAGAGACCTGAGAATGAATAATTTGATATCTATTTCACAAGAATTCCTGCACAATTGCAGACCAGATTCCACGACAATAAAACCGGCGAAATTGACTTCGCCGTCACGAAAGCGGTCACAAATCAAATATTCATGGACGGAGGCACTTAGATTGTTAGATTTCATTGCCTTCACTACAAAACCGCAGGGGGTTGTGCAACTCTGTTGGGCAACAGCGCTTCACAATCAGCCCTGACGGACCTTCGAATGTCAGGTAAAAATAATTAGGCAATGGTTATAAAGTAGAAGTCAGAGAACAAATCAGTCTGCGAGAGTCAGTGGGAAACCTTCTGAAGGCTCTGATAACGCCGAGGTCGTCGACGTCGCTGTGGTTCTGAGCAGCTCAGATATATTCAATTAAAAAAGCTGTCTTCATTTACCTAACTTGAACCTTTAACAGTTAGTGTGTGTGATATTTGCACATTTAACTTCAGCGAACATTTTGGGTTTATTTGACCTTTCTGGGCTTTTTATACAAAGATAAACCTACAACCACACGCACAAAGGAACCCAAATAGAGGTTATATGTCCTTTATCATGCATGTCTGAAAGGAACCACATGCATCCACTGTTTTTCACTGGATACATTTTGATACGATTGAAAATAGCATTAGTAATGGTTTGTTTCAGGTTGGCATTCGTTTATTCTCGTCTACTATTTTAATCCCTATTGGCGTGTATTTTTAAAAACATGTAGGGGCAACGACATTTACTTGTTCTTCAGAAAAATAACTTTGACAGAGCGTCGTCGTGATCGGCAGCTGTCACTGCTGGCTAGTTAGCACAAGCCAAAATTGTCATTTAAAAGGATAAATAATATTGGGCCACATGTCATCTTTTGTTAATGAAAATACTTAAGTTTATGACATGCAAACATTTTGGGGGGATTAATACACACTTGTTCAAGAAGCTGAGTCTTAAGTAAAAAATAAATATATTCAGAGGCAGACTTGTATTCTGAATGAAAGCGGATTTATTTCAAACAAGCCATCTTCAGCGTATAAATTTGTACTCTGAGCCCAAACGGAGGCTTCAAGATTCTGTTATGATAAAATGTGCCGCTACACTGGTTAGTAAAAGCAGATGAAAAATGCCATTTCAGAAGATGAAGTTCACCGAGACGGGATTGCAATGCTTGTGAATGTAGAGAGTCCTCAGGCTTAATTTTTTTGCTTAAACAGCATTTATGCTTCAAAACCCTTTTATTCGCTTTCCGGTGGGAGAAAGCGAATGAAAAAAAATAATAACAAAATGAAAAGAAAAAGTTGCCAATTAAGTCGGTGAGTTAGAAGAGACACGGACGTAAAGGATCAACGCTGAAGTGGAGTTTATTAACTCTGAGCCGTCTCTCTACTAACGTTAAAAAGTCAAACTCAGGTCCGTTTTCAGAAACTCTCCGCTGTTATCCCAGGCTGTGGTCTTTCAGTTCAGTTGATAAGTTACACAGTTCTTCGTGAAATATCACAGCACAACGAGGAAAGCCCTTTTCATTTTCTCAATTTTTCATTTTGTGAGCACAAAAGACATTTTGGGCAGACATGGCAAGTTAAGTTACACAAATGGATGCATTAAAATGAGAAGGGTGGTGGACAGAACCTCTATGTGGTTGCTGGGTCACTTTGACTTAGTTCTGCTTTTCGTCTTCTTTTTTTCTTTTTTTTTCTACCGTTATGCAACTTCAACAAACACACATTTTAAACCTATGCTAAAGTCAATCTTTCCACTTCCCAAAAAATCACAAATGTTAGTGTAAAACAGACTTTTTTTTCTCCCCCCGCCCCATTCACGTCTAATCCTGACAGGTAGCTCTGAGGCCTGCTTCTATGGGTAGGGGTCAAAAAGGTCACATGCCGGACTCCTGCGACGCTCCATCAACGCCTCCCTGCAGGTGCCGCTGAGACAGGATGTGTTTCAGAGTGTCCAGCTCCTGGGTGAGCTGCCCTATCTTCATCTGCAGCTTCTGGTTCTCCTCCTGCAGCTGCAGGGCCCTCTGCTGGGTCAGCAGGATCCTCCGGCGGGCCTTGTCCCGGCTCTTCCTCACTGCGACGTTGTTCCTCTCGCGCCGCAGGCGGTACTCCGCGCTGTCCTTGCTGATGCTCCTCTTGGTCACCGGGGCCCTGGGCAGCAGGAAGGGCGAGAAGTCCTGGGTTTGGAGAGACGGGAAGGCGTTTGAGCGGCGGCGCTTCTGTCAGACGGCACGCGCTTCACACAAGCAACACGCTTGGACTCACCTGCTGAGCGCCGGCGTGGCTCTGGTGGTGGTTTGAGCTCCCCGAGTTGGGGTTGCTGCTGAGGCAGGACGTGTTGTAGGGCAGGTAGGGCAGTCCCATCATCTGCTCGGCCACTCTCTCGTCAGCGACCCCCCTGATGATCCCCGGATGAGACTGGCCATACGACATCATGTCCATCTGAGACATCTGGTTGGACTGTGAGGCCTGGTTGGAGGCGACGGGATTCAGGGGCTGGCTGTGAGGCTGACCAGAATACGAACTGACCCACTCCTGGATGACAGACGACACTCTGGAATCTGACATCTGCGGGCAGAATTGGATTAGGCCCCATGCTTTTCGTTCATGAATTACTTCAGTCAAATTAGTGGAGCTCAGGCACGGTCTTTGAGATTCAGTTATTGTTTTTCTTTCCCAGAATCTCATCAACTCTCGTGCTGCAAATTCAACAATTTGTTCGCAAACGACCAGAAATGCAACGGATTAATATTAGTGCCGTTAAACAACTTCAAGTATATATATAAAAAAAAGAAGACGATGAAATTCATTTTCAGAAGAAAGAAGAACTACCATGCCGCCTTTTGTGCGCCTTTGCTGCATGACTTTTTATTTTCAGACAATATCATTTATGCTTCTTTTTTTCAAAATGGAGAAGAAAAAAAAACATTTTAGGCTGTTAAAAAATATATATTAAAACCATAAAACTGGGAACATGGAAGATGGATTGACCTCATACATTTGTTTATTAATGTCAAAAAAATAGATATAAAAAAATTTATGACATGCTTTATTGAATATATTTGATTAAAAAACAAACAAAAAAAAACAGTTCATAACATTTTAAAGCCTGACTCAGGGCATCTTTAGATTAGATTTACACTGAATGTAAATGTAACTTTTTAAAAAAAAAATTTAAAATGCAGCCAAATCAAACTGTATACACTGCTTACTACATTTTCTATCAAAGTGAATTTCATCATTATTTTCAACATCAAACAGTAAAATACAACAGAAAAAGGTGAATCCATAAATCTGATATTCACACAGCGACTTTCTGAGTCGGTTTCACCATCGAACCATGGTTCCCCTAAAAACTCCTGAACTTCTACAGTTTTTATTCGTTTGAGTCTGTTTACTCCTTCGTTTTCTTCTAAACCCTGAAATCCTGGTTAAATCGTTTGGGCTTTTCGACAAAGTTAGGTTGTGACTTACCATGGCTCTCCTCAAACTCTGCAGCTCTCCTCAGACTGTGCGAGCGGTAACGACTTTAAGGCAGGACACCGAGAGGCAGGTACCCCTCTGATGATCACATCAGCACTTCCTCTCTCTCTCTCTCTCTGTCTCTCTCGCTCTCTCTGTTTCTCTGACAGACGCCAACTCTTGCACATTTATCCTTTTTAGGAAGACGCATCAACTTCCATTCAGAAGTTCCTCTGAAATCCCAAAAAAAACCAACACTGAGTCACCGACCGCAGCCAGGATCCCTGAATTACCATTTTGCCTCATTAGCATCCCTGGAGGACAGGTGGTTATCAAGTTCAGCAGTTATCCCAGAGGCCTGAACTGCGAGTCAACACATCCAGGATGTCCTTATCTGATCGGCCCCAGTGAACCCCGACAAGGGAGATTCTTCTCACACTGACATGGTAAGTGGCCCCAGGTTGCCAGAGGAGACCTGATTTGTGACAAACAACTCACGTGAAGCTCGATTTTGAAATCCCCCAAAAATTGACCTTAACATTTGAAATTAAATTGTAGGAGAGTTTGTCTGAGTGATGTGAGGTGTGGGATGAAAAGTAGTGGAGCTTTGGGCTAAATGTGGAACTTCAAGCAAAGGGATCGGCGGAACACACCTGCAAAATATGAGATCATTTTCAACATCATGACCGTCAATGTTACTACACTGAAAAAAGTGTGATCAGGGTTAAGTAATATTTACTAAATAAATAAGAGCAAACTATACATAATAAAAAAGACTTTGTGCAGTTTTGAATCTCACTGAGTTGAATTAACAAAATTTTGAATATATTTTAATTGCATTCTACTCGGTTTTTATTTCAATAAAATCAGCAGAAAAACAATAAGTAGAATTTATTTATTTTCATAGGTAAAGTCAAAAGTGCAGAAAATTGATAAATTTTACTCATTGGGAGGCCTTTATTTTTCCCGCCCCAAAGCATTTGAACATCCAGTCTGCTTGGCATTTCATGGACTACCGTTTGCTTAAAGGTAAGACATGTTTTAATTGTTCTTAGTTAAAATAATTCAAGTGTCTGTAGCAGTTAAACGTTGTCTTAAGTTACTGCAAATGACCAAACATGGCAACTTTAAAGTTATAGTGTGAAGGATTTGAAGTCAGTCATCTTTGATTTGACTAAATACATCGCAATGATTGAAAAAGTAGTCTCAATGTCACAATTTAATGTGACTAACGTAATACGATATATAGTGGCCGTAGAATACAAGCTACTCTTTTATTTAATGTAGTTTTTTGGCCTCAGCTCAAGCTCCCCCTCCCCCACCTTAACAAGCTAGCTAGCATGTTTGGGCTCCATAATGGAGGAACAGACGTTGTTTTGAACGGTGAGAGGCTAATCAAGTTAAGAGTTTCGTTTAAAGTTACTGCATTTAGTTTTTACTATTAAAATGTACTCAAGTAGCATTTTTACTCAAATAGCATGTTAAAAGCTGATTTCTAATCAGTTTTTATAACGTTACACATTTCGGAAGAAAAATCAGCCGTTTTACATTTTGAGACAAAGTGCGCTGTTTCTTCTTTCTCATGGAACGTCTGTTATTGTGTTTTGAGCACAGTGGCTGGTGTTTTGCTAAACCCCAGTTCACCGGCTCTCACTGAGGTTCTCCATTAACGTTACGTTAGTTACATTCAGATGGCACAAACGGCTTTCTCGTTTTTTCCTGTTTTCTCGGAAAAACGTTTTGCTTTCAAACTGTGGTTGCAGCTCACACTGACAGATAAACAGTGAGATGCGTCTGTGAATGTTGGGTTGAAATCAGTACGTAGAGCTTCGTACTGACTGCTGCCACAGAGAGACTGAGAGAAATGCTTCGTTAGTCCGTTTTGGGCATCTTTGACTTTAATATTTATTGTTTGGCATTTGTTGATGTGCATATATCTGTGGTGCCTTTAGATGTGCTGCATTTAGACAGACAGGAAGCTTTAAGAGAAACATTACCGCTTCTGTCTTCCGTGCAGTTTGCTAACACTGTCACTTGCTATGGAGCTAAGTACACTGTTAGGATGAGCTTGCCTCATGGCTCTACAGGGGGACTTCCTGACTTTGCTGAGATTATTCAGATAGCCATTTTAAACAACCGTGCACATTTCATTGTAAAGTCACTACAAGCATGGCATGAAGAGCATCTTAGATTTTCAACTAGAGAACACTGGCAAAATGGCTCTTGTTGAGCAGCAGAAACTTGGTGATGTACAGTGTACATGGCTGCATACAGTGTGGGAGGAAAACGCTTGGTCACACTAAAACGTCACATCTGTTGTTTGTTTTAGGTAATTTTGATAAATTATGTTAACCTTTACATCTCATAACATGTTTTTAAAACCATTGTTCTGGAAATATAACAACAGGATCCTTTTTTGTTGACATTTTAGCAATTTAATAATCATAATTATGGCACACGCATTTAATGTTACGATTATAAGTGTGGTGTTCCACTTAAATAAGTACAGATTTTATTTATAAATGTTTTTTATACAGGTTTTTTATGTACTGTATAACAATATATTTAACTTTTGTCTATTCTTGTCTGGATGGCAGAGATGGAGGCAAAACTCAGAGTAATAATTGACGACCGAATTGAGAAGTTGGTCCTCCCATCAGGCATCCCGCCCACTGTGGAGGAGCTGCATAATATTGTGAAGGAGACCTTTGGGATTTCTACTGAGTTCAGTCTTCAGTATTTTGATGTGGAATTTGAAGATTATTTTACTCTTCACAACAGTGATCTTATCAAACACAAAGGCACCATAAAGGGAGAGGATGAAGAAAGTCAAGAACAAGAGAGGATTCAGTTGTTTACTGAAGTAAAGAAAGAGGACAACAACGCATTGATAAAAGAAAAAATGGCCAAAACATTTGCACACAGAAGAAACGAAATCATTAACCAATCACCCAGTATAGAGAAAATTAAAGCCAGATGGCCCGCTCTATTTGAGCCGTCTCACGTGAGTTATAAGTGCATGCTAATCAGAAATATTCCTAGTCAATGTGAAGGATTGCATTTGTGATTCTGCATTTAGCTATTTGATACAAAATGTGTTGCGTTACTGTCATCTATTTTATAGATCAAATTTGATCCATCTTCTTGCTTTTGAAAAATGTCGTAAGAACAGTATGTATGTTTGTAATATTTGAGGCTTTAAAACTGGTTTCATGATTTATCTTTCAGATCCAGGATGAGTTTCACAGAATCACAATGGTGCATCTTGAATCAAAGATCATGTCCAAACTGGATGAATATACTCCTCGACTTCTGAACCTCTTCCACTCCAAGGGCGGAACCATGGAGTTGAGGTTGCAGGCTATCCTACTCGAGGTATCCTTCATTGAGCATTATGGTTGCTAATATTTCATTCTCAAAATTTTGTGTTTAAACTTCTGGAATATCATTACTTAAATTTACTGGAGGTTAGTCTGTGATTCTCTTTATCAATGGAATATGAAATAATCGCATGAAAATTTGTTTCAGTAGTGTTTTATTACACTGGTCCTCAAGATGGCACAGGAAGGATCCTTGAGCTTATTAACAGTAATATAAATCACCAGGTGTTTATTTTTTTCGTTTCAGACTCCAAGCAATCCTGACATCAACATGACCAGAGATGTTACCATTTGATGTTTGATGATGTACCTTGGGGAATCTGCAGATCAACTCTTACAAGAGTATGATGTAAGTTTAAGTAGATATTAAAATATAAAGTAGGTGATTTATCTCATCTCTTCTAATTGGTATTCGTTGGAAATTTTTTAGTGTTATCTCATATTTGTCTAAAACACTGACAAATAGAGTGCATTACAAGCAACGGCTGACAAACTCCAGATTTTCTTGTCCAAACAGTTGTAAGCAATTTGGGAAATAGAACCTTCTCCTTTAGCTGTACTGTCTAATATGCACAATGTTCTTGCTATTACAGGATGCTGATGAAGACAGTGTGTCACAGGACCTTGCTGTTCAAAGCCTGAAGATCTACAACATCAAAGCTAACATGTCAGAGGATCCAGACATCGGTATCGTGGTGGACAGCGTGAAAATTCTAACTGCTCTGGGTAACTTTCCAAGGGCTTGCTCCCTGCTTGTTGGATTGGTGTATGCTATGAGTCTTGCCTATCCAAAGAAGCTCAGATACACGTTTGAAGTGTTTCAGAAACTTCTCCTCGGACTGGATAGTTCAAAGCTCTCCACAAAAGTGAACAGCCTCAGGAATAAACTAATGGCTTAAGAAAACGGACCCTTACTAAACAAAAGGGAATAGACAAGCCACTGTCAAAACCAACATGCAAAACTTTGTGACATGCTCTGTGAAGTTAGTTAAAATTTGGGTAATTTTCAGTTCAGTGGATTTCTGCATGTGTATTTTTTCTTGCAGTACATTACAGTTAACTAGCCTTTCTAAGGACTGACCCCTTGTTCTCATATGTGGTAGTGCCTGTTATATGGCTTTGGATCTGTTCAGGTCTGTCACATGAATCCTTGTCCCTTTTATACAGCATAGAGAATCCACTATTGCCTTTTTGGAGAGTCCATGCAGGCTTCACCACTGAAGGGTGATGATCTGCAGGCTGCAAAATGCTGTTGTGTTTCATTTGCACTTTATATAATATGTTTTTGTTCAGTTCTGTCTTTCAACTTATTTTTCGAAAAGGAAAGTAAGTGTCACGGAGCCAACAGCCCAACACAGTGACAAGATGTAGCATGAACATGCAAAACAAGAAAATGGAAGTTTTTATGCCTCAAAGGTCTCGCCCATCTTTCACATATTGTCATGTGTTTTCCCAGGTAAGATTTATACTTGTGTTGTGCTCTGCATGCCTCTTAAACATAAAGTTAACTATGTTTATGTGATTGATAAATTGTTGAAGCAAGCTTAACTGAGTCCAAGTTGATTTTGTTGATGTGATGGCTCTAAAAAATCATGTTAACTATACTTTGAGCAGAGTGGCACTATGTGTTGACTTGATACTGATATATTGTATATTGCCCCTTCTCTGTTTTATTGTTGTATTTTGGAATTTTGCACTTGTTGGGTGCTGGATAATCACGTTTTATAAAGTTTCACAAAGAAATGCTGCTGCTGTTTAATTTGTTGTTTTTTGATGCCACTCAAGTTTGGTCAGTATATTGTGTAAATTAGGCTTAAAAAAATTATGGCAACAAAGTGACACTCAATATTATTGAATAGATTTAAAGTCCTATGACACAAATAATAACTTAGAATTTATCAATTATTTTAGCTACAAATGACTAAGAACAACAGTGTTAATGTGTTGAATCAATCAATAATGTGCTAAAATATGAGTTGATATCATTTATATTATTTACTTAATCCAAATAATTTTTATGCTGATCTTTAGTAAATCCAAATCAATTTCAGCCATTTAATTAATAAATATAAAATTAATTTCACCTAGATTAACAGTAAATATGAATCAATTTCCCACAGATATTTCGTAAATCTAAATAATCTTTTCTCAGAAACTTAGTAAATAGAAATAATTTTCCTTGTAAAATTGAGTTGGATTTACTAAATATTTTTTGTCAATATAACTTATCATTTGGCTTGATATTACTAAATCCAAGACATTTCAGCTGTTGATTTTATTAAGATGTACTTGATTTTTTTAAGTTAAGTTAAGTTAAAATATTCAATACTTTTTACTCATTATTGTAGAACATAAAATCTACTCAATTATATTACGTGTCACTTTGTTGCCTCAATTTTTTTGAGTAACCATTGGTCAAATTTTTCTGAGTGTATTTCATACAACTGTTGGCTGAAATACGATACAACCCCAATGAAAAGGTTTGATTTCAAGTAAAGTGATTTGGAAAGAGAACACAGTCGTATCAGAAAAGTGGTCGCATTGCTCAATCTTAAGGAGGGCAGCTTCAGTTTTTGTGTTGCTTTGTGATCCTTTGGACCACGCAGTAATATTCAACACATTGAAATATTGTGGAAAAGTCTGTTTTTTAGTGGGTAGACGCACAAAGTGAAACACACATTATACAGATTCTATGATGATGTTTTAAAGCATACCTATCTTTAATTTTGATTATTGAAAGTGTGCTTAATGCCAGCTAAAATTTACTTTTAATCTGATAAATAAGCATAATAAGAATGATTTTTTTTAAAAAGTGACTGAATTAGACTCTTTGACTTATTGTTACACATACATTTTTCTTTGACATTTAAGCTTATAGGCATCTGGTAGAGCTGGCATAAGGTTGTCGTGATATAATAAAATTTAAAAACTATATAGAGGTGAATACACAGGTGGATTTGACCTAACTATTGTACAGAAGCATCTTGTACAACAGTTTACTGAGACACAGAAAGAAAAGGAAGTTGAACCTTTATTCTGCTGAATGCAGCCCAGCTGCCTTGAAGACAATAGTTTTAAAATGTTTCAGATTATTTATGTTTACACTCAGCCTATAAAAGCTGTGAAGGAAAAAGTCACCACACATCAGGGTGATTATACAATTAAAAAAAAACAACTCTAGAAGTAAGTTTGATACGTTTTTAATATTTATTTATTTATTTATTTATTTAATATTTCGAGAGACATTTTTGACCAGCAGAATTTCAGCAGTACTTGTTTTGTTTGCATGGAAATATGTTTTGGGCTCCCATCATCGCACCAGGCGCGGCGAGAAGACTGTCTCCCTGCGGCTTCCGTAGGTCGGGCGAAGTTAAAATGGCCGCTCCTGTTGACAACGTGAGTAAAAATCAATCTTGCTGAGGCATTTTCTGTATTTTATTTGCGCAAAGGGTCTTCTTTCATACCCTTGAGAGAATTTTAAACACCGAAGACACTTCTACATGTTTGTGTTCATTTTAAAACGCGGAAGCTCTACGGAGAAACTCCCTGTTCGCCTTTTGCTGCTTGCGTGTTCAAATGTTCCTTAACTGTTATTTTATTTCACACGTGTCGTATTATTTATTACAACCTGTGTCTGTTGTCTCACAGGACCTAATCGAAAGTGATTTACCCAAAGCTGTGCAGCTGCTGAATAGCCTCACGGAACAGGTGAGGTTTAATTTTACGTCACAGGAATAAATGGATGTCGAACAGAGAGATGATGCACCACACATGACTCTGTCCGAGATTATTAGATGGTGTAATATTCTACTGCAATGCGACTGGATGCTCTGCACAGCAGCACGCATACATTCACTACTTTACCGTAGTGGCTCACCACATGTGAAGGTTTTGACCTTTTTGTTGACCTTAGGTCGCATCAGTAACCAGTTATGTTCAAGAGCTGCTGGGGAAAGTCAAGAGTGGGGGGTTCAACACTTCAAAGGTAAGTGAACATTACCAGTGTCTGCTTAGATCTATATGATCTACATCTGTGAGCACATTTTAGTTTGAGACAGACCCGTCCCCTCCCTCTCCAACACGTTTCATGCTGTTTGTAAAAAAAAAAGAAGAAAAGCTTCCCCATGCCAGAAACTAAATTCCCATGTGTTTCCATAAAAAGTAAAGCCGCAACTAATTTTCTAGCGCCACTTCTTTTTTTTTTTTTTTTTGCTGCATTATATTCTGGTGTGTTGTGATTTCAAGAACACCTTGTGCTTCTGACGGTTCCTCGCAGGGTCTGTCCTTCCTGGACCTTCGCTACAACCTCCTGCTCTTCTACCTTCAGGACCTCACTCATCTCATCAGCATCAAGGCCGGAGGAGGCAAGATAAGAGGCAGCGAAGCTTTGAGCAGAGTGGTCACCGTCAGAACGGTAAGAACGTCTGCAAGACGCGCCGCAGTCCCTGTGGGCGCAGATCACAAACTTTATTTAGCTTTTCCCCTCTTTGGTAGGTGCTAGAGAAAATGCGACCGCTCGACCACAAGCTGAAGTACCAGATTGATAAACTGGTGCGCACTGCTGTTACTGGAAGTTTGGGTAATAAATATCTATTTATATATAGATGTTTTTTTCTTTCCCCTACATTAAGTATCACGTATGAAAGGTTATTAGTGCTTATGCAGCATGATTTGAATACAATTTTCATCTGTTTTTGTCGAGTTCAGCTGAAAACGATCCGCTCCAGCTGCGTCCAAATCCTGAAAATTTCATCAGCAAAGTAAGTCCTTCCGCTTGTTGCGGAAGAGTTTTAGTCAAATGGCTTATAAAGAGCCTTTCTCTCAATTTGTTGGACTGAAGTTGTTTTAAGTTTGGGTCAAGAGACAAAAATTGCTGAGATTCTTTCGTGCCTCGTTGTCCAGCTGAGCGAATCGGAGGACTCTGAGGATGAAACGAAGAACAAGGCAGCCTCCGACAAGAAAGCAGCTCACTCTAGTGGGAGGAAATATGTACCACCGAAGATTGCTCCGGTGCATTACGGTACCGACGTTCGCCTCTGATGGAACGGAGTTTGTTTCACGGTGATTTCTCGGTATCGGATATTAAGACGGCTAATTTCCCGTCAGACGGCGACATGACAGAGGCAGACAGGAAGAAGTCTCAGGCGGAGCGGCAGCGACGAGCAGCTCTGCGGAGCTCCGTGATCCAGGAGCTGAGGCAGCAGTACAGCGACGCTCCAGAGGAGATCCGGGACAGACGAGACTTCCAGTCGGAGAGGGAAAGCCGAGACGAGCTCCACAGGTCGAGTCTTGATGGCTTCACTGCAGTCTGTTCAGACATCCATTCGTTTGAATTTTATTAGGTTTTTGTGTTATTACTCCTCAGATGTTTTAGGAAGATTTGCACCGAATACTCCCATTACAGGGAAATGTGGTGGGAGTTTAAAAATGTTGAACCAATTGTCACCTTATAGGAAAAGTTACGAGGAGTCGATGATGGTGCGTCTGAATGTGCCGAAGCACGAGAAGAAAGCCAGGAAGAGGAGCACGATGGCCATGTCCGGCCAGCTGAGCGGCATCACACACTTCGGTGACATCACAGCTCTGACCGGCGGTGAAGGTGGTCAGGTGTGTTTTCAGTGACCTCCGACTTTCTCACAAGTGAATGACATATATGGAGGAACTTTCTCTTTACCAAGTTCTCCAGTGGTTTATGGGATATGGGTTGCTCTCTCGGTGTCAGTTCTAAGATACTTTTTTTTTGTGTCTAATTTCCTAAGGATGGGGAAAGCGGTAGACCAAAGAAAAAGAAGAAACTCATGAAAAAGAAAACCAAGAGGAGAGGTGAGTCTGTTTTTTAAGATAAAGGGAGGGGGTGTATAATGTGCAATAAATGGATGACTATTCATGTTTTTTTCTTTTTACAGCCTTCAAGAAACACAAATAAACAAAACTGTGGTGTTCAATGATGTCAGGATATTAAATGAAAATGTTTCATTCCCTGTATTGAAGTAATAAACTCCACATCACTGCTTTTTTGCTTGTTTTTTTGTTTTTAATTAGTTGTAAAATTGCAGCTGTCCAGTCATGACTTACCACTAGAGGGCAGTCATGTTTCCTATATCAATCAAACAGAGGCCACACAATTCAATGCTGCGTTCCAGTTACCTGGGAATTCAGAACTCGGAACTGGGCTTGACGTCAGACCCCTGGTAATAGCGCTCCGTTCAGTACAGTCGGAATTTCCAATATGGCGGTGTCTAAACATAGTTTCCAATACCTATAAGCAAACACTTTTAATTTGTTTAGAGTTGTGGGTGCTACATGTGGCATAGATTTTAAAGTAAGGTTACATGAGGAGCGGCAGTTGGAGTTGCTCCCACTTTCCCGATGGGAAATCAGACTTCGGAGGGCGGCCCAGTTGATTTTTCCGACTGGGAAGTCGGAATGTTCCACTTCCGACAGCAACTGGAATGCAGCATTCGTTATTACCTTTTCTATGAGGTGTGAGAACTGAAGCTTGTCCCGTAAAAGCCTTTCGCTTGTAACATTGCGCAGAGCTGGAACAGCTGCTGGACGCCCGGCCAGATGTTGGGGAGGATTAATGGCCGCCGCGGCAGGTCGCTCTACTTAACTCGGTGCCAACAGCAGCAATTTGGCACACACCCCTGGTTGCATCTAGTTAATAGATGAGGCACCATCGCATCTAGTTTAACATAAATGCTTCACAAAGCAAAAATCAGTGCAGTACCAAAACTGCGCCCTCAGATTAAAGGGAGCAACACACATTTGAAGCAAATGTGTTCTGATCACACTTGGAAAGTGGAATGGAAAGTGAGACATTGGCCAAATACAGGTGTCCAGAAATGTGAATTCTAGGTCAATTTGTTTTATTTCATTATACATAAACGGAATGGGAACTCGGCACATTACAATTCAAAACATGGCAAAAAAACAAACAAAAAAACCCCCAAATGCCCTAAAGAAGCTAAAATGTGCTCAAAAGTGGCGACTTCTTTGCCATCCATCTCCTGTGAACTGAAAATGTTTGACATTTTTGCTATGCTGCATGGACTTGACCAACTTCTGATCTTAATTGCACATATTAGGAGCTTTTTGGCTTGTTGCATTGAAATACTGATTTCAAAAGCATATTAACTTCAGTAAAAAGCAACTTGACCTTATTTTACTGCTTTTAAACTGATTCATGTTCCCTGGAATGCAATAGATGAACACCACAGCCAATACACTGAATCATACTGTGACTGTCTAGACCCAAAAATGCTTTAGTTTTTTTTTTTTTAAAGTTAGTTTGACAATCTGCAACCTATTAATCAGTTTTTTTTCCAATAAAGAAACTTTAGGGAGTAGGATTCAGCTTCTTACCAGTAGTGTTTCCTCACAGATATTTAATAAATACAGTAGTCACAGGTGAGCGCTTATGTAAGCAACATAGGAATTTCATTAGAAATATTAAACACTTAAAATTTTAAATGAGTAAATAAATTCAGATGAAATTTGTCAAGTGAAATATTACTTCCATGTGAATTGTAAAATTCAGTGGAAAAGTATGGGTTCAAGTTTTAGAGCAGTTTGACAAATAAATATGCCACAATATTTCAATACTTTCCATGAGGAACTAATAAAAGTGAACATTTCTTAGATCACTTCCGAAAGAAAAACTGACACCAATTTCATTTTTACACAATGTCTTTATTTTTTTTTTCTCCTAATTACAGACTCATGGGTTAAAAATAAAAATAAAAAAGCAAAACATTTGTTCAAACCCAAACCCCCCCAATCTTTTTTCCCCCCCCAAAAAAAAACAAACAAAAAAAAACGAAACAAAGAGAGGTCTCCAGACCAACCCCACCCCCTGACTTTCCCCACCCTAAAACAGCTCCAGCCCACTCTTCAATTTAAATCAATGCTGTTAGCTGGGCAGCCTTTCTCAAACAAGCCGTGACTGCACTGCGCCTAGTCAGAGAAAGGGGGCGCCCTCGAGTCGCACCTTGATAATTAATCACCCCTCCTTTCACCCCGTTTCTCCCCCCTCTAGCACAAACTTGCCTGTCTGCCACTCGGCTATTGTTGGCTTCAGCTGTGTGTGGGAAATCATGTGTCGGCTTGGCTGGCCGTCAGTTCTGTGGTGTGTTTGGTTAGGTGTGTATGTTCGTTGTGGGCGATGTGACATTTTTTTTGTTTGTTTGTTTTTTAAAATTTATTTAAATTTTTTTTTGAAAGTGTTAGTTAAAAAGCATCATCAGCGTTTGCTGTTGTAGTAAATGCCCCCCGCGGTGGGCCTGTGGTCACCCTGGCCCCCTCCCCCGCCTCCCCACACCGACAGGATGGGGTGAGTGTGCATAGCGGGAGCGGAGAGAGACAGAGATGCTGCGGAGACAGTGGGGGGGGCCGGCGCCACCTGGGGAGGGGTTGTCAGCCTCCACTGGTCCTGAAACCTGAAACGACAAGAAGTGGTCTAATATACAGAGAGAGGAGGAGGGGAAGGAGGTGGAGGAAGGGGGTGGAGAGATGGAAGACAAGGTGCACAGAGGGAGGAGCACTGGGGGAAAATGAAGGGGGAAGTACTAAAAATAAAAAAAATGAAACATGCCTGATTTGGGGAAAACAAAGTTACTTCATCTACAAAACAGGTGGGGAGGGGAAAAAAAAACAATCCTACAGTCCTTCACTGGACAGCAGACCATCCATAAATAAAATACATTTTAGGGGGTAGGGTGCAAGAGGGAGAAAGCAGATAAAAGGGGTTGAAAGGGTGAGTCAGGGTGGGGTAAGGGGAAGGGGGGATCAGGAGGTAATGACAAACTCCAAACGACAAAAATTGCAACAACAAACACTCAAAAGCTAGTGGACGTTTCACACTGATGCGCTAACAACAACAAAAAAATCGAACATCAACTTTCCTTCTTCCTGCCCTCCCTCCTTTTTTTCCCCCTCTCTTCCCTCCCTCCCCTTTTTTTTTTGGATGGCAGTGGAAGGTGAGTGGGTGGGCTGTACTGGTGATGGTGTGAAAGCAGGAGGTCACAGCCAGACCAAAGGAGACACATCTGCAGCCTGAGATACCATCTTTCTCTTTAAACCGCTTTTTTTTTCTTTTTTCTTTTCCCCAACCCTTCCCTCCCATTCAGAAACCAAACAAAAATAAACAAAAAAAAAAAAAAAAAAAGAAACCCAACAGATGTTTCACCTCCCCCCACCCCCACCAATGGCCAACCGAGGTTTACCTTACCAGGTGTGACCGCATCAAGCTCTGCACACGCACGCTCTCACACAATCTCACACTGCGGCCAGCCAGTCTCTCTGTCCAGGAGAGGGGTTTGTGTTGTTTGTTTTTTTTTTTTTTTCGCTTTTTTTTTTTTCCATTTTTTGTCTTTTTTCCTCTCCTCAGTGGTTTCTTCTTTTTTTTGGTGGGGAGGGGAGAAGTTTCATTGTGTGTGGGTGTGTGTGTGTGTGTGTGGGTGGGTGTGTGTGTGTGTGTTTTAAAATGGAACAGAGATGGGAGGGGAGGACTGATAGTAAGGGGAGTACTGGGGAGGGGGGGTGTTTAGTAAGGGGAATACCACGATGTTGTTCGCCCTCGGCCCCTGGAAAAGAGAGAGAAAAAGAGGGTGAGATTTTTTTCTGTTTGGCTTAAGAAGATGGACACCAATTTCCTGGTGTGATAAATATATAGATATAGATAAGTGAGAGTGCGTGAGGGCAGGAAAAGGTTTGAATAAAAAGTCAACTGTAAATGCCTAAAATGAGACAGGCTGTATTTTAATCAGTGTGGAAGGACAGACTAGTAGCTTTAAAAAGGAGGAAAAATTGTTTTTCAGATATCGAGTGAGAACAGTAAGTGTGGGGAGGTTGTGGGGGGATGTGAGGGGGGACAGCAATGGCACTCTCCCTCTTTCTCTCTCTCTCTGTCTCTCTATGAGAGAGCCTCCTTCTGGGGGTCACTGTGGGGGAAAGACCGTGAGGACAAACAGCACCACACACACCATCAGCGAGACGCACTCACTTACACGGTGGACTCACAACTGCAGCGTTAATCCACACTCAGAAACACAACGTGACACACACATACACACACACAGAGTGACACCAGCCAGCGGCAGAACGCCTCTCAGTCACACAGACAGCACAAACGGGTCACACTGGGACTGAACACCCCGCCGCTCGGTAGGCCAGATGCCGAGGTCAGGCTGCAGTAATGAACCCTCGTTTCTGGGAGTGAGCGCTGTGAAGCTGGAGCGAGTGTGTGCGCGGTGTAAGTGGAAGGGGGCGGCGGGGGTCATGTTCATGCAAAAAAAGAAAAATCCACATGAATACGAGTACAAAAAAAAATGTAAATAAACACAAACAACATTATGAATACTGTTGGGCATCAAAATCTTGGCTCTTCGCTGCATGTACTTGGGAAGATAATCATGTGGATGTGATCATCCTGACAGCATTGGGTTGGTTTTAGAAAGGTTTCAAGTCGTTTTACTGAGATGTCAGATAAAGTGCTGGAGAGACTTTATTCTGACTGAATGGGGCATGGAGTAATGCAGGATGGCCCCTCCCACACCTGCTGCTGCATACTGCCACTCAGCAGGCTGTGAGAAGGCCACAACAACTCAAACTAAAGAGGACAACCGGTGTTGTCACTGGCAACACGACGCATGCCTGTGGCCTAGTCCACATGTACCCAGATATCTGGGAAAACAGAGTTTTTGTGTGGCCTTTCATCCAGACAAAAACTCTGTAACATCACTAAAAAGGATTATTTAGAAAAACTATGAAAACTGAGATTTAGGGTTCCACATATTGCCCTCTATGGGTTTGGCATATCTAAAACACTCTGGGGCAGATTTGTATGGTTTTATGTGGATGTAAACTTCTCTGAAACCGATCCTGTGTGCAAGATACTTTTTAAAATGATCGAGCGGAGCTATTCAGTTTTACAAACACCCGGCTACATGTGAACAAGGCATAAGACAAAAAGGTTGCAGATTTTGGAGCCAATAATATAACATTGTTCAGTACTACCACTTTGCTTGTTTTTCTTTCAAGGTCATAGGTCAAATAGAAAAGAAAGCTGTGCAGGAATATATCTTTAACATTAGAATAAACTTGAACCAAGATAAATTAAATTTAAAAAAATGTTTCTAAAAGTGATTTATAGTAAGATGTTATAAAGTTCTCAGAGTGGCATGTTGCATTTTATTAAAGTGCAGTCAGTGCATTCTGATCTTTACTATGAACACTGAGGAGAGCACTTAACCAAATAATGACGTGTAACATTGAGATACTACTGAAATGCTGATAACATTAGTTGCAATTCATGTTCTAGTTTTAAATCTGAGTAAATACTGAGATTTTATAGTATTTTTACTTCAGATTTTAATCCCAAAAGCTCCATGTCTCTTTTCTCTTGCCTTTCAGACAGAGTAGGTTTTAAAGAAATATGATTTGGCTACATAATCCTTTAGCACAGTGAAATGCTAGCTGGGGTGGTTTTAGATAGGAACAGAGAACCAATCCAACATGTCTGATATTGAACACAGCTAAAAACTGAAACCTTCCCAAGCTTGCTGCAGCTCCATGCCAGGTTTGATGATGATATTTTTTCCACAATAAGACAGAGCACTGGTGAAATGTTACATGTGGTTCAGATCTGCAACTCAGTCTGAACTAAAGCAGTGATAAAAGTCCTGATGTATCATCCAGACTCATCTGAGACAAATCATCAAGGCCAGTTCAAATGGAACAACTCTGACTGCTCTATGGTTTCGACATGCTAACCTGTGCTGCTGCTGATTAATGAGGGCACATTGTGTAGTTATCAAGAGTTTAAGATTAGATTCTTTCTAACCACATAGTTCATCTAATTTCAACATTTTAATCAGTTCTTGGGGGAATTTGAGGTCCTGTCCATTAGTCTCAATATTTTTACCCTTATCCAAGCCTCTCCCCTCTCTGCCTTGCAAGCCAGATCTGTGAGTGAACTGGGAGGGTTAAGGTTTTATTGTGTGTGGGGGAGTTTCTGATTAGAGACTGTGACCTTGAAGTTCAGACATTTTCTCACAAAAATGAAAGGATACAACCCAGACTAGTTCCAATTGAATGCCAGCTTCACTAAATGAGGAAGCAAGGACCTGATGAAAACCTGTATGATTGAGTTGACAAATAAAATAGCCAGGTAACTTTGTAGAAGCAATACAAGACAATGTGAAGCCCTCGCTCACAGTTTTTCATAAGCTAAATAGAAAGTTTTACAGTCTCTAATGTTACATTTTAAGTAAAGGGTACAGACAGATTTTGACGGTGGATGGCAGGTTATACATGACGACCAGGCTCCCCGGGATCTTATGCAAGAGGCCTCGAGAGCAGCTCACCTGAAGGCCCGTCCTCTGCCTCTAGGTGGCGTGTAACCACTGTAGTATCGTGCACGCGAGGCGAAGCTTCCTCCTCCGCCCCGTGATCGGAACCGGCCCCGAGGAAACCCGCGATCTGTGGTGCTGATTCCTGGTCTGTTTGTTCTCTTGGCTCCCACCTGAACACAGTTTGGGGTGTTAGGAACTCTCAGACTCTAAACATGCAGTTCCAGTGTGACAACACTTTTGGATGATCACTGCGTTGTCTTGGACTATTTTATTGACAAGTAAAATGTTTCAGATCACAATCTTTTTACTTTTCATTACATGAAAAAACAAAGTTAAGTTACTGTCCATTTTTTGCATGTTATGAAGTCAAAGTTTCTTACCTTTATCTGTCTTCCTCTGAAAAGGGATTCATCCAGAGCCATAGCTGTCCTAACAGACTCTTTGTCTGCAAACTCAATATAAGCAAACCTAGAAATGAGGGGGGGAGAAAAAAAGTTGCTAAGCAACAGAAACTTCTAAATACAGGAACAGGATTATGCAACAATAAAAAAAATCTCACATAATACAGAATCAACAGAATCGGCTACACCGATCCAATCCAGATATCTGAGGTTTAGTATCAGCAGATACCAATCCCAAAAAGAAAAACGGTGCCAAATTGAATTAAACCGAATTACAAATATATGCAATAACTCTGCACCGGTACAACACACTAAAACACACCAATACTTCATAAGTTTGGTCAAACATGTAAAGGCAATGCAGCTTTAATTTGTTGAGTCAGAGCAACTAGGAGTACCGAAAAAGACAAAAAGTATAGGTTGACAACATTGGCTAAACATGTAAAAATAAACTGTAACAAACCTTTCAAAAGGTCAGAGCACAAAGCATGGAATTAGACTAAATAGATCAAAGCTTATTTATGGGTCACATCGTCATTGAGATTAAAACTTCTTTTCAATATCAGGACCGATACAGATATCAATATCAGATCTGTGCATTTGAAATTTCTGCTTCTGGTTTTAAATATCCTAACAAACTAAACCAATGGAAACTAAAACTTTCTCCATCGGAAGACTCATTCAAATCAGAAAAATAATAAAAGAAAAAAGAAAATAGGCTATTCCTGTCTCATTGAAAAACTAAACTTCATTTGTATTTATCTCCAAATTAAATAAATCTGTACATCATTTAAAATACTTGCTAACTTATTCTTAGTCAGCAACTCATGGCACACATAAGAGAGAATTAGATGGGTTATTACCCCTTGGGATGCCCTGTGTATTTGTCACACAGAATGGTGACTCTGTTTACTGAACCACAGCCATGGAAGTGAGCTTCAAGCTCCTCTGCTGTAGCACCGTAATCCACCTGAGGAGAGAAAATGTAGAAAAACATTTACGACTCATGTCACAGGGAGAGACATGAGAAACGCAAACATCTAACAAATCTGACAATAAAGGAACTTATTTTTCAAATATGAACATTATCACTGCTGATGGGTTTCAGAAGTCACAATGTAACCACAGCAACCTGAGTGGGGGACAGTGTTCATTCTGGCTAAAACAAGCCAAGCCACTGAAGTGTCAGAGAGAAAAGGGCAGAGGAGAGGGAGGCCAACTAAACCCGAACAAAGCAGCAGGGAGCTGAACACTACAGCACAGAATATCTGTATGCTAAATACTATCAAGCTGTAGTACAAGTATGGAAGTGCTGAATGCTGCCCTTTCATGACAAAAAACTAAACAGGAATTTCAGGTTTGTCTTGGAAAATGTGTGGAGTTCATTTAAGGTGTAAGAACTACAAATACTGACCCGCTTCATAAGTATAAATACCAACGTTTTTTTCTTCCTTTTCTTTTAGTAGCAACATAGAAAATTGTGTCTTTTTTTTGGACTAAACTCCAAGTGACCAACGACACGTCAAACATAGCACAAGACAACAGACTGTTACTCACATTGCCAACATAAATAGATCTCCCATCTGCTTCCATCTTCTCCTCGATGGACATGATGACAGGACCAACTGAAAACAGAGGAGGGAGAAGAAGTCAATATGACTGCTGTGAGGCAGACAAGACGGCCTCTAACAAGCTGGATTTGGAGGACAGACCTGGAAGCAAAATTACAGGTTTTAAATTCCAACATTTGTGCTGATCGTACAGCCTAGGAGCAGAGGTTTTGCTGCATGATTTTACCCAAAATAACCTCTGCACCATCAGTTATGATCAAATTTTTGTTCATAATTTATTAAAATAATGTGGGAAGAGGGTTGAATAACAGGTCTTTTTCCATTTTCTGGGACACACATGTCTGAACTAACTTTTTATTAGCAGAAAGTGCTTTTAAAAAAATGTAGAGAATGACTCAGTCGCATGACAACTCAAGTTTAACTTGTTAATTACCAAAATATATGCAGCAACAATCAAGACAATACAGAAATCCAGTATGTAATAAGGTTTGATTCCATGACTACAGACTGTTTGTCATTACATAGACATATTTAAAAAATAAAAAACAAAAAATGTGGAGCTATTTAAAGCAGTCCTATATTTGATTAACTAGAGCACTAAATCATTTTATTTTGAAATAAAATAACCTCAGAATAATAAGGAAACAGGATTTATGTAAACCAGAAAAAAAATAAATACTGAATCATATAGCAAACCTTGAGTGCCATCTTTTATTTATTTGCTTCACATTACGTCTCAAGTTTATTGGCCACTCAGGTTGATACAAACCTTTTTGCATGTCTGCTAAGAGTGGTGGCCGTACCCTGAACTCTGCCTGCTATGGTCTTATGTTGCCAAGCAATTTTCTGGTTGGGACAGACACTTGTGTCCCTGCCTTAATCAGGTCATTCAGAAAAATTTATGCATCACAGGATATTTTATTTTGTCCTGTAAGAGTTTTCCTTAAAGTAATGTTGAGACATCCTGATCCCTCACCCCATGGCAAACACTAGGCTGTGCTCCTAAGTTCCAAAAAGGAGCGCCTAATGAAGACTTCAGGAATAGCAAAAGGACATTTAGATAGAAACCTATTTTGAGCTCCTCTGCATTAGTAACAACTTGTCTTCTTCACCATGGCAGCCACAGAGCAGACCCACAGCTATGTGAGGCAGCACTGGAAATACATCACATGTGAAGCAGCTAACAGGCTTTGTTAAGCTGCTATTCCAACTGGGCCAACAATTAAACAACTTTTGGTCAAGCTGGATACCTTTTTAGAACAACATTTAATTAGGTGATGTTGCTGTGGTTGGAAACACTTTGCCAGACAATTTTATGAAAACCCTTAAATGATAATGTTTGTCTTAGAAATTGCAAATAAAACTGTGGTTTTGCTCTGCCATAGTAATACACTCGTAGGTCAAATATTTTATTTCAAAAAGTTGGCGATGTTGGACCTCTCAAGCAAGTAAAACACTCAAAAGTAAAGCCACATCCATTATCACCACTACTAGTGGCACATTCATTATAAACCGCATATTTTCACAAGCATGCCTCTTCCACTTCTTATTTAGAGTCTTTGCTGCTGTTCAATTCATCTGTGAGTTCAGATCAGGTTGGGGTGTCATGGCATCACACCTGAGTGGACTGTGTTGTAGTTGTAGGTTGGAAACCGAGTGGTATTGGCTAATAGCTATGATGCTAACTACTAACAGAAATACAAACTCATAATATGCATAAGACAATGATTGTGAGTGCAACATTGCCAAACAGGATTAATTTTTTAAATAAATAAATAGTAATTCTATTTGTTACAATGAACTAACCTTTTCAGGGTAATTAAAAAAAAAACAAAAAACAACCAACAAAAAAAGTTAAACAGAGTCACTCAAAAGGAGACATTGAGAGAAAATTGTTTCCAAGAAGCCATGCAACGCTGTTATCCCTTAAAGAAAGAGGAAGACTACAGACAGGTCAAGTGAAAAACAAACATACCTGGTGGGGGACTGAGATTCATCTGTTTCTCCACCTCGTTCTGTAGCTCCTTCAGCTTTTCTGCCTCTTCCTCCATCTCTCGAACTCGGGCTTTTATAGCCTCCAGTTCCTGCAAAACACACACATTCCCAATATGTCTGTGAAAGCAGTAGCTTCACAAACTGTTACCATTGACATGCATCTGATGCTGATGCTCAAGGGTTTTACAAATATATGCACCAAAGACAAAAGTCCTCATTTAAGTAGATCCAGTGTATGGCCTTTTGCTGCAGATTATTTTCTCCACAATTTTTTTATTTTCTCTCTGTAAAGCATACAACTAAAAACCAACAGAGCCAACAAATGGAAATAAAAAAAGAAATAAATTCATTACATAGTTGTGCAACTGTTAAAAATCTATCCCGTTACAAAAAAAGTTTAACCACAGCCATTTTTTTCATAAAAATAATACATTTACAGCAAACACAGACAGGTTTCAAATAGACAATAACTATAAGATATTTGACATGATTATTCCAAATTAATTTATTAAAGGATAGGTCATAAAATTTACTTATCTTTGTAAAACTCTACAGTGCACCACAGAATAACCTGTTGATAATCTTCTTAGTTTTGATACCTTTAAAAGGGAACTTGGGGTTTACAACTTCTTACGGTCCACCATTTTATCAGCCACGATTTCTACAACCATTTAGCAGTTATTGCCAAAGCCAAAAAAAAAAATACAATTCTTCAAAAATAGCGTTGTCATCTACAAACAAAAATCATTGCACATTGCCACACTTCATTAATCTCATGTAAACTAGAAATTCTGGCTGCCAAGTTCCAACACCAAACCTTCCAAGAAAATTGGTGTTTTCACCCAGAGACTTACTTGTCAATTAACTGCTCAACTCAAACAATTGTTCTCATTCAATAACACATTTTTCTATAAAACAGACACATAATGTGCACCGAATACCGACTTGACGGTGTCCTCACATGTGTGAAGTCCCTCCTGTCAGACAGTGGTGCACTGCAGCACAGTGGGAGTCGCTCCAGCATCCTTCAGAGCCACTGCCTATTTGCCTTTTTTTTAAATTCATTTTCTCACAGTAACATTCAAGAATCATCCTAAATTCGGATCTCCCAATCAGAAGAGAAAAAGGGAGTCACAGTAACCGAGTCACTCTTCCTGCATTCAGTTTGTTATAATCCTAGACATCATAAATATCCTCACGATTCATATATAGACCAGGGGAGCAATCCACCTGCATATGACACGTTCTGACCCCTATTTTTTGACGCATATTAAGAACAAGGTCTCACGCTCCCCTCTTTTCCTCCAGCAAAAAAAAAAAAAAAAATGGTGAAAGATGCAAACCCAGCCCCTTAAATACCGCAGCCCCCCTTTTTTTCCATCTGCGTCCACAATTTCTCTACAAGAAAACCCAAATTCCTCGCCAAAGAGTGCTATCCAGTAATTACCTGGGAAATATGCACTGACGTGCAAATGATAGAATACGCATGTGTGAGTCCATTGAAAATGTGCAGCTGGTATTCATTTTAAACTCGCTGTGATGCAGGTTACTGCCCACAGTCGGCCAAAGCGCACAGAAAAAGAAAAAAAAGATGGTCAAGTGTACGTCGGCCTCGTCTAGCTATGGCTTTATTATTCGCTCACACAAACGTTATCCAGTGAGACTGAATAGCGTCTGTCGTGTAACACAAATAGCCCGACAGCTACCATGACGTGCCGCAAATTTATCCCGTGACTACCGACCACAGTTGACGGGTTCGCTGGTCATTTAGGGTGCAGCATTTAATGCTAACATTAGCCTTCTGCCGCTGGGTCATTCGCGTGTGCGCGCACAGCAGCGCCCGAACAAGAAGCGGCTTCATCGAAGAAAAATGAAAGGAGATAAAAGATGAAATTACCGTCAGCCGGTCGCCTTCTTAAGGAGGTAGACTTTTAAAACGACAGCTAACGGCGGCGGCCTGTCCGGTGCTTGCCCCAACAATGTCCCGCATCTCCGTCCTGCATTTTTTTTTTTTCTTTTTTTGCGACGAGGAGTTCCCCCCCACCCCCAACAGGCTAGGGTTGCTCTCTCTAGCGCAGAGAAACTGGTGTTGCTCTTGCGCCAAGATGGCCGCGGACACCACGCATGTCACCACCCAAGTCTGCTGCACTGCGTGAACCACAATGGCGGTTGATACCGAAGTAGCCTTATCAGACGGCATGTGACCAATGATTTGTCGAAGACGACCAGAAAAACTACACGTTTTGTTTAACCAACTGTTCCGAAGTGGCACTAACGTGCCTCGATATTCAAGATGGTTCTCACTCGTGGAACAATACCCTTTACTCACCGGGTCTTCAATTGCGGCCTCTCCCTCTTCTAACCCCGGTTCTTCGTCACCGACACCTGGGTCTTCCAGTTCGGGATGTCCGGGATCTGAATCTAGTAGAGATTCATCTGCTAGTCCGTTGCCGAACTCCGCCATCGCTCTTATCCGACACTACCGACGCGCCTCGTGGCTAAACCGACGTTACAGGCCCCCACTCACACACAAGGGGGTAGAGTGAGCGGGGCGGCGAAAAGAAAAAAAACGGCGGAAAACGCCGCTCTGTAAAGTTAAAATGGGAAATAAAATGCTAGCTTCAGCTCTAGCTATAACTCAAACAGCGTTCCACGACACACAATGTGTGCTGTTTCACTCGCTATTTTTAGGCAAAGGCCCAAATATGCGAAACCGAACCGACTTTATTTACTTAAACGTGTATATTTAAAAAAAGGCGAGTGCTGTACGCGAGCGCGGCGGCGTCTCCTCAGTTCAGAAATGGAAGCTGGGGGCGGAGTCACTTAGCACTGCAGGCGTAAAGCTCTCAATTCTATTGGTCTACAGAGAATTCTAGACCAACCTTTTCAGTATTTCCCGTGTGTTCATTGGACAATCACACGGGGCATTCCGGTTCGCGAATGGCGTCGTACGCTTTTGATTGGATTATGTTTCTGTCCATCGAACTCCTCTCGTTACTTTTATAAACTTACAAAGCCCATTGCTGACCGAATAAATTCCCATAATATTTGAACGAGTTATGTCAAATGCCTCACCCTGTTTGACCTTACTGAGCGAGCTCCCTTTAATAAATCATTCTGCAAAATCTTTTTACGCCATTTTAGTTCAAATAAAACATGGAAACCTTCTGCAGGAAACAAACCTGTTTTGGCAAAAAAAAAAAAAAAAAAAAAAAAACTATTAGTTTTAATGATTTGGATTAGAAGCATTTTATTTCTGACAGGAAGTTATATTATTGACAACATTTGAAATTGTTGATGTTTAATCGTCCTTATTACTTTTGTAAAACTAGACATACACAGCTTGACCTGATCAACCACACAATTGTTCATTATTGTCCATTACCTTACTTTTTATACTACAAGAAAACCATAAGCATGCTTTTTTGCTTCCATGGTAAACCTAAGCATATATATCTTAGAACCAGCTTTCTTTTGGAATTGCATAAACATCCAGGAAGCATCTTAGTTTTCACCCTTTATGAAAGTTATATCAGCATATCACTTATTAAAAAAAAAGTTTTAGCAACAAAAACAATACACTGCTGTGTGACAAAACTAAGTTTTTTTGACTGCAGGTGTTACAACTACTTTCAAGATGACCTTTCTCAATATCAACAGATCGGTTCTCAGCGGTTTATTAATGTAACCGATATTATTTATTTTATGTATTTGTGTTTTTATTATTGTTGTTTTTACTGATAATGATCTCACACTCTAGCACAGGGGTGCCCAAGGTAGGTCCTCGAGGGCCGGCATCTTTAACGCACCTGGATCCAATGATGGCTCGTTAGAAGGCCTCAGAAGGACCCCGACATGCTGAAAAGCTTGTTACTCCCACCAGGGAGAGAACTAAAGCATGCAGGGCGCCGGCCCTCGAGCACCGACTTTCGGACAACCCCTGCTCTAAGCAGCGCTGGTAAATATTTCGTCCAGTGCTCAGCATTTGCCCGACTATATCGGGACCAGCACACCACGTGTCGTCTCATGAATCTTTTCGTTTCTTGAAAGTTGCAACGTTTGCCCGGTAGGTGGCAGGTCTACGGAGTGACGCACTCGGGAGTCCAATGAATGAATACAATCGACACCCACGCGCTGGAAAGCGGCTGTTAAATAACTGGCCACGATAGTGACCGCGAGGCCGGAAGAGGGTTTGCAGCTCTGAAGTTATTTACGTGTCGAGACTAACACTTAGCACGCTGAATAATTTCTGCACACTAAAATAAAAGCTTTTCTAAATGTCACTTTTGAAAACAAAATATTTTAGCATGCTTACCAGAAATTCTTTTTTTTTTAATTGCTCACCATTTTTGCGAGATCTCTATGAAAATGTGAACTAAGGTATATAATTGCATTACAAAATATATTCCAAACAGCTTGTATGCAAATAAGCATCCCCCACTGTATTGATCTAACAGTACTCTAGTACCACTGTTATCTTTTCAGCAGGTTTGATGAAATTAGACCAACTTGATTTGCTTTGTTGTTCAACTGGTTTTATTTGTTTTTCTGTATAACAAAGAAAGCATAATGGAGACCAAACACAAAGGCAGGTACAAGTGAGGAGGAAAATTAAGCTTAATCATAAAATCTAACAATTCATAACAACACTGCCACTATTATTGTTCAATATTCATAGGAATACCATACTCTTTCTGAGCAGAGCGGTGGCATTAAAAACCATTATGAATCCATAAGAAAAAAAACAAACAAAAAAAAAACAGTGATGAGTAGTAATAATAAATTGTATAAGTAGTAGTACAGTTCTAACAATAGTGATAATCAAAAGTGACAATGAAACATAAGGGAATATAAAGCAGATCTCCATAAAAACATCTAGTTTGGACAGTGCAACACCGTGTCTGTGTGTGTATGCGCATATGTGTGTGTGTAATCCCAGTCTTGAGGTTTGAGCACACTAGTCCTTGCTTTACACACAAGATACAGTTTCCAACAGAAGTACAAATTATTACTCTTGGTTAAAAGGACATCGTTCCCCTCTGTTTCACCGCTGCGGCGATGGCTGCGTTCGTCTCACACGTCTGTAGCTTGTGCAAAAATGGTGGACTAGTGCAAGTGTCAAGCTGTGGGACGTCCTTTTTTGTTTTTACAGTTTGCATTAGGACCTCTCCTGCTCTCTGTCGACCTAAAGATTGCTTTTTGGTTTCTGAATGACAGAAAGCAAAGTGAGGATTACTTTGGAATATCAGGTTTTTTTTATATATTTCTTTACAAAAAGTTCAGGTTTTAGTTTTGCTTTTTTTTCTTTTTTTGTTAAAACTATTAATAGTAACATTAATATACAACTTAAACCGAAGGAAAACATCTTTAGTTTGTGTCCTTCAACACAGCACCATCTTATTAGCTCTCAGTGAATACATTTTCTGTTTCCTAATTTATTTTCTAGATTTGAGTACCCATAAACCACTAGATGATGCTAAGAATGACCGACCTTCTCCCTTGTCATGGGTTTCAAGAGTACAACATCCCATTTCACAGCACATACATGACCAGGATCATTTTCTGCTTTGAAACAGACTTTTAAAAAAAAACGAGGGGGAATCAGGCCTGCTTTCTCAATCTGACTAGACTGGCTTTTGACCTAAATAAAAATGTTCTGCCAGTTGTAATTGCTTCCTGTCGTTGAACAAACACTCAAGAGAATAAAACGAGTATTTAAAAAAAAAAAAAAAAAAAAAAAAAAAAACTTTTACAGTATTCAAAAAGACCCACAAAAAAAAGAAACAGGAAAAAAATTGGGAAATCAGTCTGAGTCTTAGTGCCAAATAGAGTTGAAATCAATTTACAAAGCTCCCCTGTTGGGGTTTCCATTTAAGGCTGCCATATTACTAACACACCAACAGGAGGTGTAAAACATTTAGATTTCCCAAGCAAGTTTGAAGAGCCATATTCCAAAAATGAGACACACAAACATTTAGGGAGGATGTAAAATTGACAAAAAAAAACAAACAAAAAAAAACACAATTTAATGTAGACAAAAACAAAAAACAATTACAGTTCTTGGCCAAGAAAACGCTGAAAGATTTACAGGCAGAATTTCTGAACTCATAGAATATCAGCTGTGACATTCAAAGAGACATATCCCCTTGAATGGGTGTAAAAAGTTTGGAAAACAAAAGCTCTTCATTGACAAGTCTTTTTTTTTTTTGTATATTACACTAACAACCAAAGCATATTACAATTGATTAGCAAAAAAAAAAAAAAAAAAAAAAAAAAAAAAATCAATTTCACGTGATTTATATTAAGGCATCCAACATGCATTAATGCATCTTTCCATAAAAAGACACCTGCATCAGAATGCTTAAAAACATCTCAAACAATGTAAAATGTCAAAGTGCGGTATGCCACAGATTCTACTTTCTTTAAACCCTTTTAGCTCAGTCTTATTTTTTTTAGATTGTCATGAAACTATGAACATGTTATTGTGGACAAGTTTGCAGCCCTACTCTCTCTCTCTCTCTCTAGTACCTCTTTTAAATCCCAAATGAAAAGACAAATAATTCTTGTAGCAACCAAAAAGCTGGCTGTTGCCAGCTTTTTCTCCTCTCCCAACAGCTCAGTCCAGTTGTGTGATATCTAAGCAATCTTTGCCCAAGAAGAGGTGAAAAGTTGGCATGAGGGAAAAAAACAACTCCACAGGGGGGAAAAAAGAGAGAGAGAAAAAAAACCCAGGCAGTTATTTATTTGATTATATCATGTCACCTCAAAAAAGTGTTTATGGGCTCACTGTGGCCACTGCCAAAAAGTAGAAACACTTGTATCAGTCTTTAGGATAGAACAGCTCAAGCATTGTGAATTGAGTGCCTTTACAAATTATAAGAAGTTAGTCAGTACATAACCACAGGGTCAGGATCAGAAATTGTTGTGGTAAGGTGGGAAAGGGTCAAGGAGACCTTTAGAGGGTTCGCACACTCATCAGGAAATCAGCTGATAAAGTGACAAGCAGCATGGGAAAAGAGAGTCTGCTCAGTTCATGATGTCAGGCCAAGTGACGGTCGAGCAAAGAGTAGCGGAGAAAAAGTGGGGAGTGGGGGCGGGGGAGGCGTAGCGAAAGATTTAGAGGATTAGTGCTCAAATGTGTTTATTAAAATCTGAGGAGCCCAAACGGGTCCAACAATTGTCAATGTGCAGACCATGCCTGATCTGAGTCTTTTTAACTGTTGCTGGTGGCCGTCGAGGGTGGCAACTCGATGACGATCTCCCCTTCGGAGCCAGCTCCTGGGCTGGTCACGGCAGTGGAGAGAGGACCCTGCGAGCTGTTCTTGTTGACCAGGGCCGTGGGTTGGCCAAAGTTAGTGGTTCTCAAAGTGGCCAGGTGATGTGGGGAGAAGACGTGGGCCCTGGCGGCGGCCCGCGACTCGAAGGAGACATTGCAGGCGTCGCAGTGGCCCGTCAGGGTTTCCTTTGGAGCGGGCTGGCCCGGCACTGGAGAGGTCGTGGGATCGGTGATCGTTAGCTGAACGGGCTTGGGAAGGATGGGCCGATTGGCTTTCAGGGCGCTGTAGTGAAGGTAGCTTCCCGAGCTGGTGTCCACTTTCCCATCTGACAGGGGGTACTGCGGTTGGTCAAGGGAGACAAGGGGGAGTAGAAAAAGACAAATTAAGATTGGAAGAAAGCTTTACTGCAATCAAACTACATAGTTTGCATTCACATCACCCCTGTTTCGTCTGCTTTAATCGAACTCTCATCTGTTTGCCTAGAAAGTCTAGTTCATTTGGGGAGGTGTGAAAGTGCAATCGAACTCT